CAATTTCTAAACAACAATACAAAAATTCCACATTCCAGACATCTTCATAAGCAGCATCAATTTATAAGTATAGCTCTGTTGTCAAATCCTGTAGATTTGAATTAATGAAAATTCAAAGCAGGAATGTTTGCAGTTTACACTTTGCTGCACCTCATTGTTCGAGCCACTTGTTAAGCGAGCAGTTTTTCCGCTTTGACTGACGTCACGTCGTGAGAGTAATTGCCCCGCTCGCCAGAGGCCAATTTTACGCCCTGTGAGTTTTCCTGTTTGTGCTCCGTTGACGCCGTTCTTAATGGGAAACCGAAAAACCCTTGAAATTTGCTGCAGATGAGTTTCGAAGCAGTGAATATAGTTTTTATTTTAAAACCTTTGGGGAACATGTTCTGAAAGTTTTTGAACGACATGAGTACTTCTTATCATCAGGCATTTGTAGCAAGGTGGGACAGGAAGAACGCAGAGGCTTGTCAAACGGATGTGATATTGCAAATGTTCAATATTTCCAATGAACTTGAAAATCAATAAGTCTACAAACAAATTCATTATTTTGCTTGAGCTCATTTGAACCCCCCAGATTGCTCGTTTTCTTGCAGTAATAGATGAGAATTAAATTCTATTTTGAGACTGAAAAGTTCTTCAAAGGGTCACTAAATTTATGTTTATTTAAAGAACTTGATCGTGAAAGAAGGCGAGGCGAAAGGTTAATTGCACTGTCGTAATGGATATGATGTATATATTACTACGCGGAAACAGTATCTCTATTTATAAGTCAATCTGGTTAGTCTTAAATTTCCAATAAAGTTACAGTGCTAGCAGAACAGAACCGCATAAGTTCTACAAATGTGTAATGCGATGTGATACTGTCATGAGAAACTGCAAGTTGCTGATCACATCGGTCAGTTGTTTACATAACGGGAAACTAACCCTGTATCGTTATAACATCTTCTCTTATCTTCTGATCTAATTTTGTCATAAATAACATACATGACAAAAATTTTATCCTCTTTGGCAAAGAGAAGTGCAGCTTCAACTGACACGATATAGAGGAGGGTTGATTCGGGGCAGTAAAGGATTATTCAGTGTAAAAGATAGTGACAATATGTTAAGCCATGCGTTGAACTTTTTTTGCGGTTAATAATTTATCATACATTTAGAAAATTGTTGTTTCGATTGAAAGCGACCGTTTTGACCATAGGCACAGGGTTTAAATAAATTATTTTTTACCGTGACTCGCGCGCTTTGCTTCTGCATAATTAAAAAAAATATATTTATCGAAGTTTTTTTTCGTGTATATAATCAATAAGTAACCACATGATATTTCTCTGGCAATTTGGAATGAATGACGCTTATAAATTTTCTTAAAGAACAGAAATTGCACTTTCCCACGGGCTTGTGCATTTTGCTGGTTTTTGAAAAAAATTGCTCATTATTCAATCCAAATTGCACTCGAAATTATGTGATTATGTGAACGCTGATTCGGTTGGTACTTAGTATGGATATTGTGAATCGCCCCCAGATCTTATTATGTGTCAATCGTGATCAGTATTAATTTTTATGTGCAGGGGAGGTGAAATGCTCTCACCTAGTTTCGAGTGCGTGTTCATAACACTTACGAAGCGGTAAGGCCAAATGGATTGTTCAACAGTAAACCCATTGATTGATAGAGTAATCTAGTGTTATCAACTGAGTTGATAACGTAAATTGGCCATCGTAGAGAGTTTAAAGCTTGACGTTTCGAGCGTTAGCCTTTCGTCGACTTTAAACTCTTACGGTAGCCAATTTACGTTTCAAAGTTGTTAAAATTGACCCGTTTCTGACGCGTGAGCATCATGTTCTTCGTTTCGCTCTGACGAACGTCAGACGTTGTGTATAATATTTTGTCAGCCTGACACGATAAATCTGTTTTACGGTCACAAATGAACTAATATAGCCAATATACACCAATATGAACTGATGTTATCAAACGTCGTCATGAAAGAAGATATATTTCATCTGGTCTTCAAATTCACCAAGAAATATTTAAAACACTAAATGATCTTCTAACAGCGACCCTATTATGACCAATCACAACTATTCAAGATGGTATCTCGCCTATTCTTATCGAAGAACATTGCTGACGATTCATTGGATACACAAAACGTTCAACGAAAATGCCCAAGCACCCGACATCAACGTCAATTATCCATCATGTTCTTTCAACTGGATCCCGGTCAATTTTGACGCCAATTATAACCAAGATTATCAACGCCTCCATGGCTAACGGAGAATTTCCTGATCAGTTAAAACAATCCCTGGTATGTCCATCTTTAAAGAAGCCTTCATTGGACCCGAACTGTCTCTCAAATTACAGACCGATTGAAAATCTATCTTTTCTCTCAAAAACAATCGAAAGGGTGGTCGCAAATCAAATATACAGATTTATGGCCGAGAACCAGTTATTTCCAGCGATGCAGTCAGCATACCGCAAATACTACTCCACTGAAACTGCTTTAATAAAAGTCTCAAATGACATCCTAAGAGCTGTAGATCAAAAAGAAGAAGTAGTACTTGTTTTGCTAGACCTTTCCGCTGCGTTCGACACGATCGACCATAACATATTACTTGAAAGAATGGAGAAACGTTTCGGATTTAGAGGTATCGCACTAAAATGGTTCAAATCATACCTAGAACATCGTGTTCAGTCAGTGAAGATCAATCACTCTATCTCTAAGCCTCGACATATCTCCTACGGCGTACCCCAGGGATCAGTACTTGGTCCACTACTCTTTCTAATGTATACCTCGCCTACAGAAGACATTGTTGCTGAACATGGCCTAAACTGTATGATATATGCCGATGATTCGCAACTTTACATAAAGATAAACTCCTCTGACAGAATGCTAGGCATGGAAAGATTGAAATCATGTGTTAATGCAATCATGGAGTGGGCCAAGAAAAACAGATTGCAGTGCAACCCTTCAAAAACAGAAATCATTCATTTCCTTCACGCTTCTCAAAAAAATCCTCCTTTCTGTAATATCAATATTGGAGATGATATCATTAATTTATCTAATACTGTCCGAGACCTAGGCGTCATGCTTGATTCTGTGATGAACTTACGCTCGCATATAAATTATTTAAATCGTCGTCTCTAGCAATCAGAAATATTGGTCGCGTTGATTCAAAGCCTATTGTACGGTCTACCGATTTGTGAAAAATTCCAACGGATCCAAAAACACAGCTGCCCGCTTGTTAGTCGGTGCCAAATCAAGAGACAGTATAACACCTATACTTAGGAATGGCTCCCGGTCACAAAACGAATTCAATTCAAGATACTGTTGATAACATACAAAGCACTTTGACATGGCTCCAACCTATCTTGTTGAACTTCTTAGTCGATATATTCCAGCACGAAACCTCCGTTCATCAAATATGAATCTACTTGAGGTGAACTAAAACGTATGGGCAAAGAGCATTCTCCTACGCAGCAATGGAACCAAACTGAAATAAAAACGCCGAATCTGTTGACTCCTTTAAACGCTTATTGAAAACTCATCTTTTCAAAAATTAAGCCACCAGATTATATCGTACGTTGTCAAACATATGCATAACACGTAATAATTCATTAGTTTAGATAGAGTAGCGAATTGCATGTATAGGATTTTTATCGAAATTTTGTTAATTTGTAATTGTAAAGCGCATAGAGTTCAATTTTAATGCGCTATATAAGAACTTATTATTAAATTAAATTAAATATGATAACACTTGCGCGAAAATGTTATCGATCCTGTAAATTCTTTTCAACCGCAATAGTACTGGTTATATCACAAATATGAACAGCTCTTGAAGCAATGCAACCGATATAGCTGTAGCAATTAGGTTAAATTATCTCGATATCTTATCAATACTTTTTCATTAGCAGGCCGTATTTGCTCCTCATAAACAATACAGTGTTCGCCTCAAACGAAGCTTGAACAGCTCAAGATAATTTGGTTTTATCAACTGAGTTGATAAAGTAAATTAGCCACTGTAGAGAATTCCTAAAACTGACGTCTCGAGCGTTAGACCTTCGTCATCCGCTCTGACGAAGAGCTAACGCCCGAAACATCAACTTAAGAAATTGCGGTGGCCAATCTACATCATTAACTCAGTTGATTAAACCAAGTTCTCTTTTGATATCGCCCACCGACGCAACACCACAGTTTCTTTACATCCTACAAATTCCTCACAAGGTCACATCTTTTTAAACTGTGGACAAATGTGGTCTGATTACCGATTGACTCAGTTATTTTCAACAATACTTCAGTACAGTGCTGGTATTAGATTGGAGTTACTCTAATGTTGCAGAATAACGTTCCTCCATCCATCCCACAGACTCTTTTAATGGTAACTCGTAAATCGCCATACAAAATGAAATGTGGAGACTGAGTAATCAAGTGATCAATTATTTTATTATAATCGTCGATTAAAGGTGCACTACAACTAATAGCCTATTTACACCAACGGCTTGTATACATAACCACTTGCTAAGGATAAATATTCAAAGACGCTGTACGCGTCATACGTCGGTAAATAACTATGATAATTAATTATAAGCCGTGCCTTGCCAAAGCAGGTTTATTTATTTTAATAAATTGCGTTAGAAATTTCAAAAATGAGTTGATTTGAATGTAAGCTAATCACATAGCCTAAAGAGAAATCCAATTCTTTTTACGATGAAACAGTGAAATAAGCGGAATGTTTATATATTAGGGACACGCGAGAGAGAAAGAAACCAAGCCGAACTACAATACAGCGTTCTTCATCTAAAGAATCTACTCTAAAGTAAATAATTCAGTGGACATAAACATGTTACCTCCTGTACATGTGAAGCTAAGTTTAAGATTAAAATCCCCCTAGTTGTCATTCCATGGTGTTTTACTCACTTCACTTGGCACTCTTCAACATTATTTGTAATACATAATGAGAGTTATCATTTTTAAGATTTCAGTCAGGATGCAGCTAACTTCATTCCCTGAAAAATTTTAATTTACGCAAATCCTACGATGTCGACTAAGCTGGGAAGCTTGTGAAAATGACTTCCCACACCGTTCACACGAAAATGGCTTCTCTCCAGTATGCGTGCGCATGTGATTATTCAAGGTGGTCGCTCCACTAAACGATCGCAGGCAGTACCCGCATTTGAAGGGCTTCTCGCTCACGTGAACAACTGCGTGCATACGCAGCTCTTTTGGTTGAGCAAAAGATTCATGACAATGGCCACATCGGTAGGGCTTACAAGACATGCGCGAACAAAGATGATTGTTCAGAAGGGAACGCTGAGTGAAGGACATTTTACACTGACCACATTTGAAATCATCACACTCCCTGAAGTTCTCCAAAACTTTCTCGTATATCTTGCGGTATCCAGTAGTCAGCTGAATTCCTGTGGTGGTTATCGAGTTGTTTTCTGCAGGTGACATACTATTGCTTGATTCTTGTTGCCTTCGAGGCCGCTTGAGAGGTCGTTCTGTTTCTTGAAGGAATGATTTGTCCACCACCCGCTTACAAGAAGGGGGGCTATAGTTAACATTAGGCTTGCTGCTCCTTGCTTGATGGTCAGCTTCGTGATTGACATCATCAGGAGAGGTTTCTTGTTCCGTCTGTAGTTGCGCACTTGAAATAGTGACGCTGTCAGCATGCTTCGTGCTTGATGCTTTTCCTTTGAAATCTAGAGAAGAAAATGGGGTTTCATTTGAAAACGATGAAAATAAATTATATAATTAATTGCTGACATAGCATCTGATTCAAAACAGTCATGTGTAAAATATCTTCATTTATGCATGTGTATTTTCTGAACTCAAGGATTGAAAGGTAACGTTTTTCGAAATTCGTCGTTGAATAAAAATTTAGCTAATGTGAGTTAATTTACTCCTTAATTTGGGTCCGTTTGAAGAGCAATCTCTTAATATTTGCTAAATATGGCATCAGAAACATAACGTTTTTGAGGCATATAATAATTTTGTTTAACTGGTTTTTAAGAAATATTTCACCTGGAAAGTGTTGTGAAATATCCTTCGTCCAGTTACCGACAGGTATCCCCATGTGCTGCAAGTAATAGTTATCATCATACCAAACCAATAACTCTGTACCACTTGGTATTTCACGGAAAGCGCGATAAAAGATACTCTTGTTGTGCTGAAATGCAAACATATTTTGCTCCTCTTTGTGACGAGCGCAACGAATAAAGCGCATCCAGCTCGAAGTATCCATATCACTACCGTCTAAAAAAAAGGCCAGTTTCTCGTTCTCGTAGACCTGCGGCATGAGAGAATAAGGTATTTTTGTTGGAGCTGACCTTAGTGCTATTGGATCAGCAAAAGAAATGACAAACTTAAACAGAGAAAAAGAAAAAAAAAGGGTTGTGAATTTTATTTGCTCAGCTTTCGAGTTATGATTTATTTGTCTTGAGCTTTACAGAAGGAAAGGGGTTGAGTCTTTCAAAGGAGCCGAACTTAGTAATAAGGCGTAGAAAACCTGACGCATGATTTGTCAGTGAGATACTGTGAACTTGCGGCGATTCAGGCAAAACAGTGTAACGGTGTAACAGTGCCTGATTTCGAGATTGTGACATTTCAAAGATTAAAAGTTGGTGTATTAATTTAAAAGTGATAAACCTATGGTCTGCACGCGCACATACCTCCCACATGTATGACGTGTCTATATCCGGGGTAACGATATCAGTTGAAAGGTACTTTCCTTCATATGGACCAATCCATGTTCCCACGGGAATATGCTGCTTTGCGCAAACTCCGTAACCCTCCCCTGGGATTCCAGACAGGCAAAGTTTCACTTCATCCGGGAACGAGGCCACAGCGTAGCTTAGTTTTGCATTCCTTGCAGACTTCTTTTGACCTGTTTTCATGGCTACATCAATCCATCTTCCATCTGGCGTTGTTTTTGGGACCTTGGATTGTTGTTCTTTTGGATAATAATGAGTGTCAGTGAAATAAACTAATTTTTATTAGGAGCTAATTCATTGTAAATTCCTGTTAAGTTATTTTCTTTATCAGTATTCCGAATTAGTCTGTCAAAAGCCTAATACTCTGACAGTTAAACAAAGTCTGCCACCATACCATGGACGCAACTGAAATGTTGTGTAATGTTAGAACATAATATTTGGTGGGATTCAGTGTCAAATTTTTATTCTTTTCACCACGATGGAAAGAAATAAACCGTTGTCTCTCAGTTTAATTTGTTCGACCCTCAAAAATTAAAGGTGTTCTTGTTAGCAGAATTTATAGTTATTGCATCGCCACTTTTTCACTGGAAGTGCAAATCGCGTTTTTGCTGAACCGTTTTGGAGACGCACAGAACAGAAAATAAATATCTTATTAACCTTCACCTACTAGTCTACACTGTAAGCTACGGATCCTCCTTTGTTTAGTTTCGCTGTACGACTTATGCCAGCGCTTGATTCATTTGCCGAAGGGAAAAACTCGGTCAGTAACTTATGTTGCTACGCGACTGAGAAGGTTCGAGTGCCAATAGCTAAAAGCAACCAATTAGATTGCTCTATTTATGGTCCCGCAAGGGCCAATATTTTCCCAAAATCGGACCGGGTAATGTCCCAGTTGATCCCGCGCGACTCCGGGGAGGATTTTTGCCCGATCAAATCAAGATAAAGGTCCACCAGATAAATAGTTCTAAGACCTTAAAATGTGTAGTTAGAAACTCCGTGTATTCACAACGAACTAGAAAAATCGTGAAGTGAACGTCGTGACGGTGCGGACCTCGTTGCACTCGGTCTCTACCGACACGGACTTGCGGCTGGTCATATACATACATGTGTGGACCTCGAAATCGTTTAGTAAGAGTTAATGCTTTACTTCTTCATCGACCTATTATTTAATAATTCATCAAAAATTGTTTAATATAATTAATCTACAGTATGATTTTAAAATCTTCATCGACCTATAATTTACCTGAGCTTTCCATGTCTTCTTCAGTCATCGTTTCTAAAATGTGTACCTCTTCCACAGAATTTCTTCCGTACAGAACATACTGCAGATCTTCTTCAGTAAAATGCCCCCGGTACTGTGAAGAAGTATCAGATCCTGTTGGTGATGGCGGACCGTCCATCTAATAGAAGTAAAATACAAGGTATGTGAATATTCCAGCAAGCACTACCATTTTCATTATCATCATTCGTTTATAAGCAACAAAATTGGGTTTAAAGTTGGGTAATTATAAGATACCTTCCTGACACAAATGTTTCAACTAGTTACCGTCTTCACTAGATTTTCTTTAGTCTGAAAAATCGTGCTAAGCAGTGTCCAATGAAATTCTGTCGCATGGTGTCGTTGCGCAATGTTGCAACTGAGTTAGTTCCGGAAATCGGAGCTAGTGCGTAACTAATAAGATATGGGGAAATTTATATGGAAAAAATCGTTCTCTGTCTTGTTTAGTCAATGATTAGAAAATAATTTATATCCGGTTAAACAAAGGATCAACGTAATCATCTGATTTCGGAAATTAAAGAGATATCCTTCCAACTGAATATTGCGAAACTGCCGTGATCGGTTGCTTACGATGGTAATCAGGGCTACTTAAAACTCGATCTCTGATTGGTCAAATTGCGGCCGCACCCCAAAGAGGAAACCTCTTCAAGTGGTGTCGAAACTTCCTGCTAAATTGCAAAGAACGACGAAGGAATATAAGATACATTTCAATGAAAATGGAACTTTGAGTTTCTTTTTTGTAATTTATTTTTTCATACACGTTGAAAATCCTACGACAAATTAACAATACATCATACAAAGAGGGTTTCAGAAAGGTTAAGCGTCAGCCGCAAAACGGCCAAAACATTTTGCCGTTAAGCCTTAAAATTGACAAATTTTAACCGTTAGTCGTAAAAGCCATCATCTGTTTGAGACCACCTAGGAACATTTTCTGTAGTTGTGCTATCTCTTAAATTGAAACTATTCAGTATTGTGATTAAAACACTGATCGATTGAAGATATAAAATCAGTAATCGTTACAGTTCAAGTCCTCAAAACTGAACTATAATCTCTGTGAGATAACGAGTTTAATGACTCAAAATTGACGATGTATGATTGGGTTAGTTGCTCAATCATTGTCTGCTAGTAAATTTAGCCATGTTTAGAATTGAATGGTTCAAGAAAACTGTCGCTGCTTGAAGTGATCCTGAATGTCGCAAGAACATAAATGTCTACTGTTCTCCTTAAATTACATTTTGTTTACGCACAATTCAGCTCTTTCTTCCTAGTACGCAAAAGAAAAAAATCCCAAAATTTGAATGACTGAAATCGTCAAACCAACAAGTGGTATTGATTCGATTGCGAAACGAAATATATACAACAGCAGAAGTCCTTTTCAATTCGTAGGTACAATAGTTTACATTAAATAGCTTACGAGAGAGGTTCTAATAACAACTCGGCCACTTCAATGTTTGCACGTCTCTCCTAACACTTCGACGTGTATATTTCAGTGACAATTTAAAGTCAAAATACGATTTATGTGCACAGAAATAACTTTCAATAATCCAATATAATGGGGCTGGTGTATTCTTTGTTCCACCGGTGACATTTGTATTTAAACGTTCTTGTGAAAGTAAAACAAAAGACGGCCAGGGACCATTTAAGACGGCTGCAGAGCCACTTTCATCAGAAAGGGGTCAAGAAAAGGGAGGCTCACAAAGTAAATAGAAAAACATTTAAGACAAACAACTGGAGAATGGTGAACAAACCAGACTATTACACAGAAGTGATGGCAAAACTGAGCTGAGTTCTCGCCACAAAATGTTCTGAGGAAAGAGGCGGCAACAAAATGAAGAACAGCGCTAAGTAGAAACTGAACAAAACTCAATCTCGTATTCCTCCATTATTTCGTATACGTCATGGCTGAAAAGGTGAAATAATTTCCTTTCTTCTTATGATCATCAATAATAACAGACCTATTTTGCCTTACCTTTGAAAGCGCTTGGATCTCTTCCAAGTTCATCGCCGCCTCATCAACTGCGAGTGTTTCTCAGAAAGCCCTGTTAATCTAATGCATGCTACTTTACCAAATGTAATTCGGTTATCAACCGACCAATTAGATCAATTTGAGCACGAGGCCTCTTTACATCCAGCACAAATACTTGGTTATTTTAAGAATGATCTGTTAAGAATCCTCCTCGCTCTCGCGGTGTTCAAAAGTACTCCGTATTTGTGGAACACTGAAGACAATGTAATAAATATTTAATGAGGGCGGCCATATCAATGGCAAGCTTCAAAAACGAGCGAAAAAAAACTTCCGATATCTTGCCCTGAAAGCTGGAACAATAAGTACTTTGAACACGAGAATCATCTTTTATTTTTTATACCCTTTTTTGAGTTCCTGGTTCACCATCAAAGTGAGATAAATGACCGCAGTGCGCATTTTGCCGTTATCAATATCTATTGCAAGGGAACACTGAGTGCACGAATCACGACATACTATACTGTAACTTCAATTAAACTGCAAAAAACGGCAAGAAAGAAAGTTTATATGTCTTGCAGCCACGTAGCGAAGTACTCATTTGTAGCAGAGAGAAGTATTAAGATTTATCTTTCGGCTTTCAAAAACTGATTTGTGATATGCAACAAGTGCTACGTTCCAACAACGAAGTGGTTAAGTGCCGCAAAAAGAGAGCCTTGAAAGAAAGTATAAACACCGCAGTTTAACCGCAGTGCCAAGATATAAAATTTGCGTTTAAATATTTTTCTCTATGCGTTCACTTAACTATGTAGCAACGAAATGCAGCTTCAATTTTTGTGTTTTGAATTGCGTTAGAATGGAGCTGAATGAGCCACGCTTGACCCCACGTGCTGGTAGGTTTTCAATGCATGACAGCAGTAGATCGGGGTGGGGTTTATTTGACATTAGTGAGCTGTGCTCTTCAATCCTTTCTGATCAGAATAACAGAGGCAAACAATTGGAAACAGTTTTGAGACAGCCTATTCAAATGCTTTTACAGTCCAAAAGAAACAGCTTCAATAAATATTTGCTTTTTCTTTGAAATTATTTCAAAGAGGAATTCAACAATGCTTTTAAACAGGGCAGAGTTGCTACAATGCGTTTGACGTAAACAAATGACAAGGAACTCAAAACCCCGACGTACCTGCATAAAATTGCAAAAATAAAATGCACGCTTTTCTAGAATATTAATGGATAGCAAATCTTACAAATTTCAGTGACATTTCAAAGTAAATAACACAAATTTGTCATGATAGTTAATCCTACCTTGTATGTCAACGAACGTTGCTGATTTGATTTTAGCAGATTTAAGGGGGCTAACGTTTCAACAATTTCAACTCTCTTTTACAACGTCTACGAGCCATCAATTCATATGACATTTTCGCGATTAAAAGTGACTGTTTCTCTTAGGGCCATATGGCCTTTTTCTGAGAGCTAACAAATTCAAAGTTAAGTTTCAAAATTGACACTCTTTATGATGATATCACCCTTGCAAATCAACGGCTTATAACACGCGATGTATAAGCTCCAGTCTTGGTTTTAAAATCAAATGAAACAAAGAATTGAATCAGTATAAAATCGCTAAACATCCTTAAATAAGGAGATACATAATGCTTGCGTACAGCAGTTTGTGTTTCCAGTGAAAGCTCTTAAACGGTGAGTGCTCAACTAAAATTTTTAAGAATCGATTCTCTCTCTGAAGGTCTGATATTTCCTATGAAACCTGAAACGAGGTATGTATCTGTGGTATAAAATTTTGAAATATTTAATGGAATTAAATTGACTGAAATGAAATAAAAAGCATAAAATACTTTGGTCGTTGCCTAGAACTGCAGTTGGGTTGTTTTACCAGTGGTAAAAACCAAGAAAATATATTTATAATTCCTGTTTGGTTTTTACGTGTCTTGTTTCCACTTCCTGTCACTTGAATTAATAATTCATTATAAACATGATACTTTGTAATAAGCTAAGTGAGAAGCCGAAGTCCTTAAATGGAACTCGAAGCTGAAACCTTGGCTGATGGATCAGTTAAAGCCTAGGCAAGCCAGCTGAACTAGATGTGGGAGCCACTTACGAGTCTCTTGAAATTCGGTATTCTTGCTTTTATTTCCCGTCTGTCGCAGCTTTTAGTGAGCGAATTCCTCTGTTAATGCACTTTTTATCATATACTGCAGACTTCTGCCATCTGTTTCTTGTAGATCGACAAAGAAGAAGTGACAGGCACATGAAAAAGGCGAGTTCTTTACGACTATTAGCTTTGCACCGTGGAATATCGACAAAAAATTTACACGTTCTAAAAGGTGCAACGTTTTCAAGCGAGTATTATCTGTATCTTCCTCGTGTTTGATTACTAATAGCGCGTTACTGAAGCGCACTTGTCAGTAGCTTAAATCTTCAACGTTTTTCTTTAAATTTAAGGGTGTAACATTTATATTGAGAAGGATGACAAAAAGATTGTGATTAACGCAACAAAGACAGCCATCCGAGGCCAGTAGCCTCTAAAATGACTTGCATTTATCATTAATCACACTTCAGTTTAATCTGGTTTGAAAAATACTGCATTGTATCAGCTACTTGCAGTATTCAACTTTCTTTTGCACCCGGATTCTTTTCCCGCCATTTTTTTGCGCATGTGCAAAGCCTCTGCACTTATGTGACAAATTTCTATGAGAATTGAGGCCTGAATTCACCTTTGGGCTTTTTCAAAAACGTATTAACTTCCTTCACTATTTCTCAAATAACTCTTTTTCCTACTTAGTTTGTATTTATGCTTCAGACCAAATTCGTTAAGTTTGAATGAAAGCCTGAAGATTTTTTCCGGAAAAGACAATTCCATTTAATACTCTTTAGGTTTTTTATTCTTTACCAATGTTCTATAGCTTGTAATCTCTCTCTAGAACCAAAAAATCGCGGGTCATGAGGAAACTTGTGATCAATTGATGTCAGTTATACCGAAGCAACAGGCAGTCATTACGACAGTCCTTCTTTGTTCCAAAAAATACCCAAGAACTTGAAAATCCCTCGAATACTAACTAGTTTAAAACTCACTGTTGAATGGATTAATTTTGCTCAGCCGCGCAACTGTTAACAAATAGGATTTTTCAGACTGAGTGAAACTACTAGTTTCAGAAATTCAAAACATTTCTCAGAAGTCGAGGGCACATGAAACTTTCATGTGCCCTCGACGAGAAAACAAAATGATGCCAGGAGCTTTTTTTAGCATTCAACTTCCAGGCCATAATATTGCTCCTCTTCCATAAGCGTTCCTGCAATCAGCTATAATGCTATTGAAATAACTTCTTCGCAGTTTACTCGTTGCTTCTGTCAGGATTCCGGCAAAATTCTGAGGATTAATATCAGGGCTGTATGGTCAATATACAAATATTAAAATACACCTTTAAGGCATATTGCATCCACTTTAAGCCGTTTGAAGCTAGTAAATGAACACCAGTCAGTTTCAAAAGACTAAAATCTGAGTTGTGGTAAATACAAGACTTACTCAATCCTGACCTGCTTTCGTGACAAAGCGCGAATTACACAAACCTTTTTTTTTTTAATTTATCCAAGATTTTCCGTGTTGCGGGTGAATGATGTCATTCTTAATGAGATAATGGCCCAGACGTGAACAATATTATGGAAAACAATCATTCCTATAGTGCACAATAAGTTTCTTTCTTGATAGTACAAAGTTCCGCATACATTGTCGGTCAATGAAAACAAATACAGGGCAATTTTAGAAACCTCCACAAGAGCGAGTATTCCGTTTCCGATGAAGAATGTCATATATTGCTAGGGAAATTGTTCAAGTTTTCCGTTTCCAGGTTTCCTATATAAGATGACCTCTCAGATTAAAATATCCCACACGGATATGAGTGTAAGGATGTTTTTCTTTTAAATTTTTCTTCTTCTTCTTTTTTTTTTTTTTTAAAGAAATGCAGGCTTAAGCCTTCTTCATCGCGATCGACACTAACAGATAATCCAGTCTCAGAATTATCAAAAAGAGAATTGGGCGCTTCGTTCGTATGTGACAGAATTTATTTTGATTATTTGCCAAACTCGAGTATAGCGCTATCCGGTTTAGCTAAAAACTTATCGCAGAAAAAAAAAATATATAAGTGGTCTTTTTAGTTCTCATTCTATATTTAAACGCACTCGAGAGAGTATGCATCAGATACTGCATTCAAAAAGCTTCGTTTCCAAGTAAACAAACAAATAAGAACCTAGTATTTCTCTGCCGGGGACTCCATCAATGATATTTTGTAGAGACCCCAATAAACATGTTCACGTAATGAGTGAGTAATTATGTCTACTTTGCATATACAGATTCTATGAGTCAGCTTCTTTTCGCCACTTTTGGAAAACTTATTTCTACTTGTTTTGAAGGGAAAGGGTCACCACACTGCAACAACAGGCCTTGATTTCGATCCTCACTTTTTTTTTGCTGAAAATATTTCCCATTTTCAGAATTTAAGTTGCACAAAGAAGTGTAAACACGCGCGCTGTTTTAGCTGAGCCGAACTGTCATGGCGGGTCACGACACAGCCACCGGAATGCGGAATTTTTGAGAACAATAATTATTGTCGGCATGGAAGTACAAAAGGTTAAGGATATATTATATATTTTATGCTCCGTAAGGGTGATACATGAAAGTTTTCTCGTATTTCTACACATCTGGAGATCTAACGAAGCATAGTTTTGCCGTCAAAACGAACTGAATGACCAACCTCGCGGAAGGAGAAGAGGAAAGGCAACTTCGTTTTGGTGAGTAAAGTTTGATTGCCTTAGAACGTATTTTAATAAGTAAGATAGTGGAGAAAATGAACATTCAGATTGCACTTTGAGCCCGGCGACCCAACTCAAACCACTAATGAAGAGGTTTCTGCACTAAAATCAACGGAATATTATCGCAATTTCTGTGAGCATGCTTCGGCATAAAGCCTTGTGGGACAGAGAGCTGTGAAAATCACTTCCATGTGGACGTATGCAACCTACAGCAGTTGCATCTTGAAGAACTGAATTTCGCGGTCAGCAGGAGAACTCTTAAACAGAAGACACGCTCTCAGACACGTTCCCGTAAAAACAGAAGACACGCTCTCAGACACGTTCCTGTAAAAACGTACATGTTGCTTGCTTCCTCTCTTTAAACCGGTCGGCCAACATAACCGCAGCCATTTGATATCAACCTTGTCATCTCATCCACGCCTTATGCTCTGTCATACAAGAAGGAAATGCTTTAAAACGGATTTTCCCTCTTCTCACGTGTGGTTTACCTTGCTTGGAAAGACCTTTTGGTACATGGCCCGCGGTCATGAAAACAAACGGGAACAAAAAGTGAATTTTCCACTACACGAGGTAACAAACAAGGAAAATTTTCGGACCAATTAGAGTTACGCAGCGAGAAGGGACAGCGAATAATTCAACACGTTTTTCTCGAAATTAGAACAAAAATAGCAGAAAAGTAAAATGTATCCATCGCTCTTTTGCTCCAGCAATTCTCTTCATGATAAAATCCATCGAGGTCATACAGATGATATAGTTTTATTGTCTGTGATTCAATCAACGGACATTTCAAGTCTGGTTCGATCAACTTCTTCTAGCGCTGGCCAAATTTTCCCCCTAGCTCTGCACAGGGGCAGACAGCAACACTCATCACTATTAACTCACTACTTCAATCCATGGTGAAAGAAATTTTAAACCTCTGAAAAAAGTTTGATCTTCACGTGATTGCAGGCAACTCAAAGTTCAGTATAAAATCCAAAAGTGTCTTTAATTCCAGAAGAAATAGTTAGCTACATCGTAAATAAAACTTAAAACTAATATAGACTCATTATCATTTTGATACCTCTCCAACTCAAGTAAGGCTACAGATATGGTTTGTGTCAACGATTGACAGGGAAGTATTGAATTTAAGTTACCTTAATTAATTAGGGTTTAAGAAAGGCTAGAATGTTCTGCTGAAAACAAATTGATGAGTCTTTTTGTATGTTGCTTAAAAGCAGAGAGTCATAGAGCAAAACGAGTAAACATTTTCTAAAAATAACCAATGGAACGAACTTTCCTGCCTCGCAGCTGGTTAAAATTTTCCTAGTGCATTCCAATGAATATCAACTACAGAGTTCGAATTTGCGGCTTTTCAAATCTATTTTCGTTGATACAAAAGAAGTTTAGTGTTATGCTTAAAACATAATGTTTAAATAATGAAATTGTGAATGCTTGTTTCTCATGCAGCATAAACCCGCTGGTTACAAATGGAAGACAAAACCGACTCAAAACAAGAAGACAAAAAAGAATACTGTGGGGGAAATGGTTATTGTCTGATCGACGAGAGAACTCTAAATTTACTTTTATATGGTTCCCGCGAAGTCAGAGTTATAGACGTGCAGAAACTAAAACGGAAGGTTGAAGATGAACAAGGTACGAAAACAGCTTGTTAACATCACGGTAAAACCAATTATTTATCAAGTGCGCCTAAAAAAATGGCTAAGAACAATATCACTGATATTTTTGATACAGGAGGGAATTTGACTCAGCTCTTAAAACTACCATAAAGCAATACAAGCCCGTTTCTACTTCCAAATAAAACCGCACCATTTACCAAATGTTTCGAATCATACGTAGACCCTCAAGCATTCATAAAAATATTCGAGATAGCATTGATAAAGTTGTTATTCTCTTTTGTTGACATTGAATTAATTTAATTGTTCCAAAAATTTCCGCTTTCACTGTTGTGTTTACGAGGTTTTTATGTCCGCCCTGAGTAATTACCCCAAAAAATTTGCATGGGCAGAGTAATTTAAGCCAATATATACCCTTGTGTGTATTGTTCACTTGCACTTTCCTTTATCTAGAAGCAATACTTTTCGGAGGGAGTGGAAACATTTGATACTCTGCAAATCCTATGCAATAATTTTATCGACGAGAAATCACGTGAAAAGGAAAACGTCTAGTTTTCTGTCAATCTTGAGGTTTCCTGACGATGAATGTGTCTTTGTATTTGACAATTATTACATAATTTTATTCATTGGTATCCGAGCCACAAATTAATTGTTCATTTTCCAGACCTTTTTTTAAACTACAACGGTTGTCAATATCCACAGAGTGCATTTAAGTCAGAAAAGCTCAGGTTCCGGTGAAAGGTTTTAGAAAAGGGCTTCTTTTGAAACGCAAGTAAAATACAGATCGGAAATGATCTTTCACGTTGCGGTTTTGGTCAGTTGGATGTTGTCATGTAGAGTCTGTTTATTCTGTAAGTAAGGCTTTGAATAAGCACGTAACAGATCCACACTTGATATGACAAAATTCTTAGCGTTATTCATAGCACCATTTCTTTATTCTTGTCCTTGTCGATAAGCTCTGATCTTGATTCACCTTACGGGGTGAATCATTCGAAGTATAGAGGCTCTAGTATTCAGGGTCATGCCTAGCTCCCTCCAATCACTCTACGTGATCTCGCACTGCTGTATTTTTCATGGCATCTGACGGGCACTTGACTATGACATAGATGAAAGTTTCGGAGCGCTCAGCCTCAAGCTAAATGTATCTTTGTTGCAAGCTACCTTATGAGGAACAGATACTTAACAGTACAACTGCTCATTCAAAATAGTCCTCCCTTTCAATTATTCAATCGATTTTTCACAGGAGGTTCGTCTTCCAAAAAACAGAACATTACCGATGACCATGAGAAGCCTCGGCTCACAAACGCCATTAGATCATTCCCGGATGAAGTGCATCTCTGTAGATCGAGTATTCCTGGTGCTGGTTATGGAGTGTGCGCGAAAGAGCACATTCCGCTGGGCACATGGATAGGTCCGTATGAAGGAAGCCGCCTGCCCGCCCGAAATTTTCCTTCAAATTATGAAACAGGATATCTATGGGAGGTGAGATTTGAAAAAAAAATTGGGCTTCAATCTGAAAAGTAATTCTTCTTGAAATATTTTCATATCTTTCTCCTTTTCGGAGTTGCTACATTTATTTGTCTGTAAATAGATCTTGACATGCTTGAGTCTAAATATAACTTTAATATAATTTAGAAAACAATTATGAAAAGGTGAAATATTCTAAAGATATATGTCCTCTTATGAGCTTCTGATATTGTATGAAGGTGTCTTCTTATGGATATATTCTGTATCAAAAAGAAATTGACCGAAAATGTGCGTTTATTTTGAGCATAACATTATTATGAGTATACGCATCTCTGAAGAAACTAAATACACTGACTTCATACCAAAAATCTAAAAGATTGAGTCCTCCATAGAGAGATATCTAACTTCGAAAAATTGATATTAAAATATTGGGAGAAAAATGGTTTAGTTTTATTTTAGGACTTGGAAATAAATCACAGTGCGGTAATCCAGTAAGTTGCAGGGGAGGGGAGGGTTGGGAGTTGAACTTGGAAGCACCAGATGGCAAGTGAAATACTTTAACTTCTCGGTCACGTTGCCTCCCGTCCTCTTACTTCGTTTTACTTGCCCAACCTGAAGAAAAAGTGAAATGCTGAATATTTAAATTCTTGCTTCATAGATCTACAAAGATGGCCGACTAAGTCACTATATTGACGGACGCGATGAAGACAACTCCAGCTGGATGCGATTCATTCAATGCGCACGTCATGTAAAGGAGCAGAATCTATATGCTTTTCAATACTGTGGCAACATTTTTTACCGGGCGTTTAAGGAGGTCCCCCCCGGGACAGAATTACTGGTTTGGTACGATGAAAAATATCCACAATTTCTTGGAATTCCTCTTGGTATACAGGACTATGAATTCTTCAGAGAATCTGGTAAGGCGGTGTTGATTTTTCAATTCACCTTAAAATAAGTTTTTTTGGATCTTCAACAACGGGTTGAAAGAGAACTGGGTAATGTTTCAGTTGAGAATGATTTGCAAAGTCTTGTTTTCTAGTAAGTCGAACTAAAAAACTAAAGCGAAAAGATGTAAGCATTGTCACAAACGGAGAATTATTATTCACTGTTTCCACTATGCTGTGATCAAAACCACCAGGATTTGTATACAATATTAATACGAGTGCAATTTGATTTTCATAAGCCCCAATAAAAAGACAACAAAATTGCACGAGCCCGTTGGGCGAGTGCAATTTGTGATCTTCGAAAAGTTTACAAAACCTTATTACATCAAATTGCACGAGAAATCATGTCATTACTTGTTAATAATTTACATGAAAAACGCATCACAGTAAGTCAAGACGGACGAAATTTGGCAGTGCGTGTGCTATTTGTAATTTGCACTCGTGTTACATGAAAAATACATTCGTTTTCAGCCACTCAAACGCGCGTAATTTTTTCACGTATATTATTAAGTGTGTAGATCGAAGGCGCTGAGCATAACTTTTATTTGTTTTATCTGTTTTGAGTGACAAAGTGTCCTAAACTTTATTTTAATGACCGTATGAAAGATGCTAAGAGTTTATGAATCCTCCGAATGTGAACCCCATAACTTACTCTCACCATGGTTTGTAAATTAAGACCGCTCGACTGCAATTTCACATTTAGCTTTCCTTTTTTATTCACAGTGTCATCTTCCAATACCCAAAGCTCTCCAGTCTGCAGTTCCGCCAGTTTGTTTGTTGACCCAGTGACACGGTATCCAAAAACCCACGGTTTTCAAGAATCACATGATAATCCTAATACGGGTAGTTTTAGATTCCCTTCACCACGTGAGCCGCCTCCACGCTTCGTACGCCCCTCAAGCAGTGCGGGTAATGTTTTCCCGCGAGACAAGCTTGGCACTTCTGGAATTAGAGGTGGTCCTAGTTTCGCTGCAGGCTCAGTTGAAAGTAAAATGATTGAGACAGATTTAACCGCAACGACAACAGTTGATGGACAATTTTTCAGGAACTTTTCGCAAATACCTGCGCCCAGTGGTAACAATTTTTATTCGCCGCAAATAAAGAACAAGGACTCGCAAGAAAAAGTTGTGAAAACTGAAAATTCAACCCGAGGGTATATGTCTGATAAACATTGGGAACGGCAAAGAGATGAGGATCCCTTGTCTAATAACGAAAGAAGACTTCCAGCAAAAATAAACGCTCTGCGTGAAATGCCGCCATTACAATTCTTCGATAGTGAGTACTAAATTTATTCACTTAAAAAAAAAGTTTCCACACAGGGTCGATTTAATAAAATTAGTGTTACTTATGAAAGCCCTTTGCTGAAGCAGGTGACCCGTTATTTGCAGACCTACGTGTTTCACAGAAACTCTAACTTGCTTTCGACGCATAGAAAAAATATGTTTTCTATAAAACGAGTGCTTTTTCCAAAAGCCATATTTTAAAGCGTGTTAGGCCAGAACGTAACTTCCCATGAGTTAATGTATTGGCATGCCTCTTGTTAATTTAATACTTAAGATAGAAACGCCCAACTGTGACTTTTCCAGATGATCAAAAACATTCTCCTCGCACGAATGAAGGACAAGCTCTAAAGCGAAATGGAGATGGAGTGAAGAGTGTAATGCCAGCGCTTCGTCCTGCTATGCCTCCGCTTCTCCACACACCGCAATATCATGAACACTTAGGAACAAACATATCAGGAATTTCTCTGTCTCCGGATGAATTTGGTATGTGGAGGTGCCGGCAGTGCTTAAAGACTTTCACTCAGCGGGTTCTTCTTCAAATGCATGAGTGTTCCCAGACCCCTGATAAACCGTATCAGTGCGGCCAGTGTACGCTTTCATATGGGACGCCGTCGGAACTCAGAAGTCACGTGGACACGCATACCAATGAGAAGTTGTTTAAGTGCGGGTTCTGTTCGCGCTCTTTCTCAGGGGCTACCACCTTAAACAACCACATACGCACCCACACCGGTGAGAAGCCATTCAATTGTGAGAAATGCCGCAAGACATTTTCACAAGCTAGTCATTTAGCGAGACATCAGCGAGTCCCTGGGGACTGTGTTCCCTGGCAGATGGGATAGATTAAAATTCAGCTTAGCTGCTGCAAATTGATAAACAGACTCAGCTAAAAAGCTTTCTTGCCATCCAAATCAGATCATACGACTACTTTTTTGGGAGGTAAAAACTGATAGATTTGTAACACGGAAATGAAAGAAATGATGTGTATGCAAACAGAGAAAGTGTAACTACCCAAATGAATAATCAAATGATCTGATCTTAGCGGAAACAAAGATGGGAACACGAGAGCCAAACCCGCTTCTGTTTGTAAGGATTTGGCCCGATCATTCCAATCAATGCTCTAGCGATCGAGGATTTAATGAAATCAAGATCAGACAATCACTGGCCCGCACGATCCGCGCGTTCGTATAGAACTAAGTTCGTGTTTGAGCCTGATTCCCACTTGATCGCCTTAATCGTCCCAGTCGCCCCAAAACCTTGCGCAAACGAGACGGTCCAGATTGTCACGTGACAATCAGCCCTTAACTTACACACAGAGTCGTTCTAATGTTTCTCAACAAAAAATTTTAGTTAATGAAAAGCGTGCACTTGGAAATGGTAGGGTTTATTTTCACACCGAGTCAGTTTAATGTCCATCTCTGGTTTTTTCACTGCACTAATACAACTTAGTCAAGTTTTCCTATAATGTCTCTCAAATGTCATCACTTATCCAGTAGCACTCATCCACTTCGTTTCTTGAAATATCTAATTTTTTTGCTGGGAATTACTCAAGAAGATACTCAACGGTAGAAGCATTTATCATTAGGGATATTTTGTATTCAAATTGGAATGAAAAGAGTAACAAAAATGAGCTTTCTGTAGAATTTTGTTTGTACATTTTCCATCCGTTTAACCTGAAGGGTTACTTTCCACCGTCTATTGGAGTTGATGACCCCGTTTGAATGTACAATATGATAATTAATTTCTCCTTGCAGTGGATACCGTCATACACGACTTCCTCTAACAACTGCAAATTGGATGGACGAGTACTCTGGAAATACGTACCAACGTAGTAACTGAATATACTAAACGAAAAGCGTTTTATCTGCTTTGCAGAAAAATAGAACATTTACAAGTTAAGAATTGTTTTTTCTTTTTTACATGTCACAGGTTTCTGTGCGCCATCAATGTTATTTTGTACAGTGGAAGATTAACTATATACAAAGTTGATGTCAGTTTCTAGCGCATATCGTCTACCCCCTCTAGTGTTAACTACGTGTCTCTCAGTAACGACGACAAGGCAGTGCTCACCAAAACAAATTAAAAAATGCTTGATTCAGGGCTGGATCAAAGTAATACTAAATTTCGTTTTTTAAGTATCCAACTATAAGGTCAGTCTAGATTTAATAATTCAAGACAATGTCCAACAGGTTGGATCCTCTTTCTCGACTTCGATAAATAGATTGAAGGAAATCAACTGATGCGCAAGCGTGTAAAACTTTTTAGTCCGGCCATGTGACGTGGAATGTTTTCATTTCTCTTTTGCTAGAATCGAGAATGGATCAGGCGCATCGGTAGCACTGTTTATCACAATAGCTCTTCGCTGAGAGTCTGGGCCTTGTTGTCCATAATGATACGTCTGTGAATGGCGACGTTTCTTTCGCGTATGACTAGATTGAGGACCGTCTGCAGTCACGAGATAATTAGCATGGTATTGCGCATATTCAGGGGGAAGTGAAACGACCGCTGACCAAGAATTTTGAATCACTGGTGATTTATGGGGTGATATTTTTGGGGTGTTTTTCCAGCCAGAAAATTCCGTGGGTGGTTTGAGCTGGACCGATGAACCAAACTGTGCTGAAGAACCTGTGTGAAATACGTTAAGTCGCAATTAGAGCCATTCACAATTGAGCGCCGAGATTGCTTTGATTTTACTTAGCTTTGCTCTGTGATTGGACCAGATAAGTCGCGCCATCCTTCCAACCAATTAGATGCAAAAACAAAAACAATTGCAACTTGGTCACTGGAATTTTCCCGCGCTTTTTTCACTTTGAGTTCTCATTGGCTAATGATGATGTAAACCTTTCTTCTGATAGGTCTTTGCGATTGCTGTACTTTTTCGCTTTTCTACACTTAATTAAAACTCCTCTAGTATCCTTTTACATTGGATTGATTGAGAGAATGACGAATTGTTTTCGAAAAAATCAATCAGCGATGAATAGAACAAAGGACGGGAAATTGTAAGGCACTTTGTACACTTCACTGTAATTTACCTTAAAGGTTTTTCTGATTAGTAATACGTACTTGAGCCATAAACCTCTAAACTGATATCGGTGATGTTCAGCGGTATACCCATGTACTGTGGATATGTATCTTCGTACCACACCAGTAGTTCTGATCCCGCAGGAATGTCAGCAAATGCTCTGTAATAAATCTCTTTGTTGTATTGAAAGGCGTAAAGGTTCTGTTCCTCTTTGTGACGAGCACATCTTATAAAACGCATCCAACTGGACGTTGTTTCGTCTCTACCGTCCACATATTGAAGCAGTTTACCATTTTCGTATATCTAAAAAAAGATTGTCAGATTAGGGATTTTAGTCTAATCATTTGTTGCTTCCAGATCGTCTACCAATGCGTCTACCAGATTTTATCTTGACAATATTTATACAATATCGAGCAGACAAGTGACGGGAATAGAGAAAAATATCAATTAGGGGGTTATCAGTTGATCCAATATCGAATTCTTCGAACTAGCACAATAAGAATTGTATGACAGAAAGAAAGGAGAATTACTAATGACATCTTTGAAGTGAAAGGACACTTGAATGGTACAACAAGACAAGGAGACTGAGGTGCTTTGAGCGTCTCTTAATGGTTCAGATTTATCGCAGACCTCAAAACACATCTAAAATTAGCCACTGATATTATAATGCAGTTTCACAACAGAAAAATATTTTACATTTAGTTTGAACTGCATTTGCTATGATTGGCTTGAAAAAACTTGTCCGCCAGCTGCTAAAATCAATCACAGAATCGTAAATTGGTCAGTCGCGTGCCCTTTCCCGCACTTTTAAGTACTGACTTTTGTAATTAAATCAAGTTGTCAATCCTAAATGTTGATTGCCAATTTGATTTTAAGCATTGATTTCGTGTTACGAAGGCAAATCAATTATTTAGCCTATTGGAGTAAACGTAAGGTATTAAGAAGGAGTAAAAACCTCTTTACCTCCCACATGTATGAGGTATCTGTGGCGGCCGTGACTTGATTAGGTTTAACAATATTGCCTTGATATGGACCCATCCAAGTTCCTTCTGGAATAACTTGTCTTGTGCGGATTCCCAATTGAGAACCAGTGGTTGATGGACAAAGATCGAGTTCATCCGGACAAGAGGATTTTGCAAACGTCAGTTTTTCGCCATTTTTCTTTTTTGTTGTCATTTTAGAAGATGACACTGAACCTAAATAAAATAAAGTTAGAAATTATTTGTGATAAGCAGAACATATAAATGAGTCCAGAAAGAAGAATCAAGGTTTGAATTTGTAGAGTACGAAAGATGTTAGATTTTGAGCTTAATCAACGAGCAAAGAAAGTTGTTATTCCTTTCGTCAAGAGCGTGCAACAGAACAATTTTTAAGCACCCCGAGAAGAATCTATCCTTATATCGTGACCTTCATAGAGAGCTCAAATGCTTTCTGTGTCACGCGCTCGAGACGAAACGGAGAACATCTTCCCTTGAAAGTCAGTTTGTTTTTCTCTAGAATGTAAGATGATATGCAACTCTAAAGTACGTTTGCCTTGGATTAAGAGCAGCCTGATTGAACTCCTGAACTAAAGTGGCGTTAAGTTTGTTGAAAACCTCAGAGGAAACAAAACGTACATAATACTGGGTCCCAGTCTCACAGACCGCGACGATCGGTAAGAAACGATGCTAATTTTGAGCTCAGTTTACAAATAAGCAAAGATGATTTGAAACATACATATCGAATTGAGCTAGGGAAAGAATCAAACATCTGAGTTTCTTTTAAAGAATTAAACACTTTAGTTATCAATATCGGCTCCCTCCATTGATAATCTGCAGTTATATCGATCATATTGTCCGGGTTTTAAGGAAAATACTGCTATACGTGACTTCAAGGTAAGATAAGACTTGCTGTTACTAGGTAACAGAAATACTAATAGTGCATCCTGAGTTATCAGTGACCAGTTTGAAGAATGCTTTACCTTTTCGCCTCGGTGCACTTGTCACCTTTCCTAAAGCTGTTTGGCTGGTTGATTCTTCATTGCGTTGATACAAACATTTGTATAAATTTTCATAAGTGAACGAAAATGGCGCGCAACCCGAGGAAACTGCTGGCTTGACATCATGATGAGGAAACTGCGGAAAACAGGGGCTTGTGTTCGCCATTGCGAACGCTGTAAATACTGTTCTAAACTAAAAAATAAATTTAAAAAAATGTCAGATCAATACTAACGTCATCATCCCAAAAGGCACCAAACCCTGATTTTCATTAAACGTCTTATAACACCTTTTCTCGATATGGAGAGTTTTTCGCGAAGTAACTTCTGCTCGCCGAAAGAAAAAACCTATGACTTTCGCAAGGCAGCTGAACACTTCCGAGCTGGCAACTTTATCCACTCTATTTCAAGAGCCTAATGTAAAGTTCCTTTGCTAATGGATTATAAACGACCCTGCCGGGCTAGATGATACGTGCCAGTTGCCGTATCTCTAATACATATTCATGTTTTTCGAGTTCTGACTCCCTGATTGAATTGTCTCGGGGGTATGAGCCGAGCGTGGAAAGAGAAAGGTGCAGATTCCATTGTCTGCGTCGGAGTAAGTTTAGTCGACAGTCGTTATGTTGTAAACGACAGAAATCTTGCCATCATTCACAAGTGTAACACAGTTTAGAACATTACTGCTTATATTGTTGCAAACTGAGTAGGAAACTGTGTCGAGGTGTTAAGATACGTATTTTTTCAGTTAGTCTTAACGGCCTCTTGTGGTTATTTAATATTCTTGTGTATTTAGGTTAAACGTGTTAAAAAAAATTGAAGCAAGCCTTGAATAATTTGTTTACAAGAAACGATGGCGTTAAAATTGCTTGCTAGCACATTTCTTGGACGGACGTGCTTGCTCTGGAGCCAAGGGCACCGTGTATGGCTGAAATCACGTTAGATTCTCCAATATCGTACATAGATGATCAGATTAGATGTCGATTTAAAGGAGATATTGTTCAAGACCAAAATTTTCACTTAGAACCATTGCGTGTTTACAAGAAAGAATACTATAACATAGGTGATCTCCTGATGAACAATGAATAAAAACTGTTCAGTTATACAGAAAATACTATCGTTATAACATGGTATGTTTGTGACAAATATGTTAAGCAAACATCCCTCATCGAACTGAATGTACTTCGTAGCTGGTGAACACTTTGAAGCAATATTACTAAATAGTTTAACAATTCAGTATTATCCTCATTTGAAACGTGTATTTTCATGAATGATATTTTCATGCAGTGTCTAGTTACCTACCGTCGTATTCTGTGTGTTGTAAAAGTAGTTCCAGCAGTTTTTCAGGGTTGTAGACTTTCACTGGCGTGATTAAGAAGTTGTTTATATGTTTTTAAGGTCAAAGTCGATTGGCTTCGCGTCGTTTCACCACAAAACAAATCTACATCAGTCACACGTCGTGAATTCGTTGTTTTAACTGCCAAGTATTTGTCAAATTGTAGTCCATGCATTGCAAATTAACAATGTGTGAAGAGCTACGTTATGCTTCACAGGAAGCTCACGCTATCAGTTGCCATGGTAAAATGCTTAAGTTTCAACATGAAAACTGCTAACTTTTTAAGGGAACTTAAATATCAGCTACAAAATTTTTGCCAGAGTAAACTTACGATTTTTGGCCTTTTTTCCCAGCAGATTCGCAAGGTTGGTTCCGGCAAGACGAAACGAAAACAATAGCAAAATTATAAATGACGTATTTGGTCTTGCCCAGAAGGGTTGGAACAGACGGACGGAAGTCAATGACAGTTTAACACAATACACATCAATGTCCCATGGCTACCTCAGCTACTTCAATAAAACGTGCATTATTTCCCCCGGTTTTTTTTCCCACGCAATTACTGAATTCCGCCAAAAACACGCTTCATCAGAAACTGATTGCGTTTTTCAAAAAACTGAATAAAACCGATGAGCCTAGTTCTTGCGTGTGAATGGGGATGACTTTGAGAGAAAACCAAAAAAAAAAGATTAATGTAAACTCATTTGCCACAGTCCTGATACATGCTGTTAAAAATTCACTCATCTTGTGGTTTGTCAAAAATGCAGAATATTTGAAAAACCCAAAATACACAAATTGAATTAGAGAGAGTTTTGCTATACTCCTTGCAATTTAATTAGTAAGTTTGATGACAAGAAGCAGGCTTCACCTCTTCTGAAATAACAGCTAACAAACGAGAAAAACAAAATGGTTGTGTGAAATTGTCAAAATTGTTCTAAAATTGTCCATTATCGTATAAAAATCACCTTATTGTTGAGAGATGACGTGTGTAGATGGAAAATTTCAGTTGACAGCCAGTTGGCTATACAGTGTTCAAAGAATTCCCTTTAGCAAACCGGTTCAGGCTGCGCAACGACGAAAAAATATATTCGTCGAATTTGATACGTATAAAAAAAACTGAAAGGTGATTTCAAAACGAATCCCGCATTGAAAAACAAAAAAACAAAAAAAAAATAACAAACAAAAAAACAGAATGTATTAAAATTCATGATGTCTTCCAGGCACAAATTATACTTTGCTATTCGAAACTGCTGTAAAATATCGACACAACCTTTACTGAAAAATACTTTTACGACTCTATCTAATATAATAAATGCAAAATTACATAATAAATAAATGCAACTCAGAGTTTTTTTTTTAAAATTCCACGCGTGTCATAAACTGTATTTTTTGAAACCGCTACGAAGTTTACCTTGCGAACCGCGGCCAGGTGAATCGTATGAATTAGCTTACATGTTGAAGGCACAATGTAAACGACTGTGAGTTTTTCAAAACATATTTGACCTTCCTTCTTCGTTGTGACAGAGAGATCCTCTGTCACTCATTTACATGTAACAAACACGAATCTGGGTAAATACATTTTTACAATTTAATCCAAAAATTTTTGGTTGTTAGTCTGAAGTTAATTTCTATGTAAGAAAATAATGCTACATAACTCAGCGTAAGTGTTACTATAAGTAGTGCTATTGCGTGTTTAGTGCTATTGCCTAATTCTTACTTACCGAAATATTTCTTGTGGTTTATATCCATGTAAAGTGTATTCTGTATTCTGTATTCTGCCGAACTTAGGCACACATGTATATCCCAGGTGTAATATGCAAAAATGACGATTTCGAAATGTACCGATCATTTATCTTTCTCGAAAATTGGACAATGACCCATACTTTAAACTTTTACCCTGTTCGATGTTCTGGTGTTCTGCGCTTCCGGTGCACTAACTTCGATGCTCAGAGTTCAAGAGCATATTACCGATAACGTTGCCTCAATAACTGATCTCTAGCCAAATATTATATAATGTTACAAGCTGATTGTGTTCATTTTGCAAATAACTTGTTTTTTTCCGACACGGAACTGGTAAGGACAAGCATTCAATTTAAAATTTTAATATCGAAAAATAATTTTCATAGAGGACTTGATAGCAGCAGGTATTAGGGTGTTGACGTCATATTCTTTATGTCGGTCTATGTAGATTTTTAAAACAATGTCGGAAGTTTCAATAGACATAATATCAAAGCGAAACTCCAAACAGTGGCTTTGACGTCAATTATTTCGCAACATTTGACACGCTTGAGCGATTACCCCACAGAGTTTACAACACAACGATTTCGAAATTTTTTCGCCTTTATAAATCGCCCTGTTTTTTAAAAACGGAAATGAAAATCTCTATATCTAAGCAATTTACCTTGGACTTCCTTGTATTCAAGAGTATGAGAGTTCAGGTTGGAAAAATTTCAAGTTTTGAAAGTTAACTCAAACTGTACGTGATCTAAACGCTACCTGTAGATCTACAGAATTTGTGATAAGCGCATTAACATTTTTGTAAAAAATAAAAAATGTAAGCAGTAAGAAATAATGTTTTTCGAAGACAGAACATCGCCTACTGAGTGTCAAACACTTACCGTCAATAGATGCTGTCAAACAACAAATCCTTCCGATTACTTGCTTAATTTTCGATATGGGAAACTTTTTGCATTGCAAGGACTTACATCGAGATCCTTTATCAAATGAGGGTATTGTTATATAATCGTAGTGATATTTGTGCGATTTTGCATCAATATTTCTCGTAAGTAATGCAAATGAACCTTTCTGTGTTTTTGTTTTGTTTTGTTTTTTTAAGAAACAAAATTCCCGCCCTGCGAATGTCACCGCGAAAATATGATCGACGATGGTATAGTTAATTCTGAAAACTCCCACGCATTTTGCGAGTTATCCTCGCAAAAGCGAGAAAACTTACCGACCCTACCCTACTCAGAGGACTGAGTTAGTGTGGCTAAAGCCAGTCGATGGAAAGAACAGGACGGATTGATTAGCAAGTTTTGGCAAATGGAAACTGGCCTCAGATTGAGGATTCTGCGGCCAAGAAGCGCAGATACGAAAAATTTAGATGAGTTTATCCCTGAATATTGGAAGCTAATGTAGTTCGAAATTTGTTTTGATCTGGTTAGATCTCCTGAGGAATTGGAAGATCTAAGCGATAGTTATACAATCACCTTATTTTCTCTTGGTTCGGATCTTTCTCTGGATCATATCCATAGCAGAGCGGCACAACTATTCAACTAAACGAACATTTTCATCGGTTCACCAGCGTAATGACCCACATAGAACAGTGAAAGACCGGCTTTTGGAGTGTTTCCGAAATATCCAATTTGTGACATTACGACGGTAAGCCCTCAAAGATGCGGTATTTCGCTTTTCTTTTCTGTTCCCTTGCAGTACATTAGCAATAACTTGGAAGATTTTAGGTCTTTAAGTTTCCTATGAGTTTACCTTAACAGTGGAAAAAAAAAGGTTCTAACCAATCCAGCTCCTGTGGTTTGTAACTAAATATGGGAAGACCCTTCTCAACTCATCAGATCATCTGCTGAAAGGATGGCCTCCAAAAGATCTCTAGTCCTTTAAGCTATGGCTTGAGTGCCAGCGACCTGCAAGCGTGATTTCCGTTTTTCATAGCCCGCATAGCTTGCGGTTATGTCTACACTTTGAGACGTTGAGCGGTGGAATCTCGAAAGGTTTGCGATGGAGAAATAAAAGCTCGAAGTTTCTTTGATTGTTTTCGCGGCTCCGCCGTTTCGATTTCCGTGGAGCTCCCATAAGACACGGCCAGCTTTTCTGGCTACGTGCACCTTTGCTGGTGTTTGGCGTTCTTCCAATTCCTGTTGGCCATTTCTCCTAATCCTCCTTCTACCCAGTTGCAGCTACGTATGACGCACCATTTTCGACCGGCCTACTCGTTTTGATATCTCACCGGTGACTGTATACGTACTGGTGTGCTCGAGCGAACTGTTCGAGAGATCTGATCAAGCGAACTCATTCAGTCATTAGACTCAGCAATGCTTCTCAGCTTGATGGAATCTTAGAAAACGACTGAGATATCGTATTTACCTTAACACCGCACCCCGTTTTCCACCAACGCCTCGTTTCTGGTTAAGAAAGCACAAAATTGAAGATAGATTACGTTGGGTAGTGTCTCATCTGCGGTTGAAGCCTCGCTGGTATTAGCGCCAAAACGAAGCGGACGCCGACAATCAAAAAGAGGTGTAGTAATGAGGTCACGGGTTTGATTTTATCGTTCTGAAAACGTGATCATTCGCTTGTTCCTTTTCAGGTTTCGACATTATTACCTTTTATATTTCTTTCGTTCTGTTTTGATTAATGTGATAACTTATTATTATATAAAAAATAATTTTTCATGGTTTCATAATCTTTTGAAGGAATTGTTTTAGGTTATTTTGGGTCACATAGAACACCTTGGCCGGTCCGCTTGTACTTGCTCTTAATCGCTTCACCCGGCTTCAAGTCCAAGGCTCCAACGCTATTTAAAAGCCTGACCTTGATTATTTTCTTTGTTTGTTTATTTGTTTCGTTTTTCATCTTCAAAGTGCCCGGCTATTACACATCGACACATACCAAATTATTCCAAGTGAAACAAAGTTTGCGGTTACGTAATAATTTCCGGGTTATCAAAACAGAAAAAATGGATTAATCCATAAGCTTCTGAGTATCACACCACTTAACTTTTTTTCATTTCTCACAGAATTAGTTTAATACACTTAGTATGCTGTAGTTGCAATATGAATATATGAATTTCATGTGCTCCTTGATAGCTAAAGGTATGAAATGACGAATTTCCGTGCATGGTTTCAAAACGCATTCGGACAAAAAGGAAAATTTGGAAAAAAATATAACGAATACATAGTTGAATGAAAGAAGAACTTAATTTACTTAAGAACCAAAAACAATTAAATTTTAAACCTTTTTTAAAAATTGGCAATATTTATAGCTGTCTAAAAATTTTCAGTTTGATCTTGTTAATCTTCTCTAATCCGCCTCCCGTGCATTTTTCATTAAAAAAATATAAAAAAAAAATGGCCATCACAGTGAAGTTTTTAAAGTGTATTTTGCTTTGCGAGATGCACATTTTCCTTTTCTTATAAATACCACCTAGGAATATCAATGGGACAGATAACAAAAAAATTTACCGCAAAGTGACCCAGAACTATTTTAGTCGAGAGCAAATCTGGTGTCATGTCTAAGATTTACCATTTTTTTCTTAATCCATCATGCAGTTGTGGGTTTTCAGAAGCTATTGTCGTGCAAGCGACAAGCAACGCACGTGGCAACGAGCTTATTCATGCACGGTCATTGCATAATGCACCTTTACCCTCCAGAAGCCACCTCTCGCAAAGAAATATCAGGCCGCGTGCAAATTACGAGGCAGATCCAGCACAAGATATCGGAAATGGCATTGATGAAATTAAGCGCATGCAGCATTTGCGCTTCTGCATATCTGACGTGAGCAATAACTAGGCCCAGTTGCTTTCATAACACGCTGTAAGAACTACGACTGTCCATTACTATGTTAGTTCAAGGGGAAATCGTGACAGCTAACTTCCTTTAAGTGAAAGACGCTCTGAGTACGCTGTGTAAATATTGACAAGATACTCTTATCAGCGGAAATGGAATGAAGTTTTTTTTTATGAGTTTTGTAATTCGAAATTAGCCGACAGAGCGAGTGCTAGGAACTGGAAGTTTTATCTTCACAAAATTATATCGCGAAATCTAATTAACAATGCGACATTTAAATGATGATCGTCTGAGGTTATCAATTTTCAATCATTTTAATTTTTATGATTGGTTATGTCGGCAAATCCAGATCGCCATACCAAACAAGCCTGCACGCAAACATGAATACAACAGCTTAGAACTCTTAAGATTCCCCTACCTTTTCAATTGGAGTCCCTAAGCCCAGATCCACATTGTGGTAGCAGTGCTTGGTCTATTAAGACTTCTCAATCTCAAAACATGTTATTTTCATTCAGCCTGGCTAGGGACGCATATACACAACGAATTATGTCACAGACATGTCGGAATAACATATCAGCCCCCACATCAGTCGTGCGATACGAGATTTGGCAGTGTCCCAAGCTGTCAAAAACTTTTGACGTTTACCCAGAGTGATTGACACACACCCGACCGGAGATCGTAGAAAAACGAGAGTAAAAGAACATGCCGCTCGCTGTTCCACGCCAAATGTTTGTTGTGATTATCAAGTGACAAGACCCTCAGTTTGGCAGAACCAACTAAGCCCAGTTTGGGTGGCCAAATCGAACACCAGATCGTTCCTGAATAGGGTCTTTGAGTCAAGAAATTGCACTTTGAAAAACTGGTGTCCTGGAAAAGATAAGGTTTGTATGTGCTATTTAGTAATAAGTGAATTATGTTTGCGTGAGTAACGCTGTAACTAATTCGCGACAGACTTACACTATTAGAATGTTATCAAAACTTTGACACACATGTACATCTTAACACTGTCTCTTTTTTTTTTCAATCACGTTTTTTCCTTTGTCGAGAAATAAGGAGTGTCCGATTCAAATCATTCTCTGTGCATTATTCAACAATGAATTTGACGCTAATTTCATTTGAATTTTTCTTATTTTTCCTTTTTTGTCAAAACAGATTTACTAGTAACCACTGAGTATTAAGCGACGTCAATGTCACGAACACCTCAAGCGTATTCTTTACATTTCTGCCTTTTTTGTCTGGAGACTATCCATATCAGTGCAGCAAAGAGGCACAACCTTACGATAAAAGAGCATTCTATATCGATCAGCTCTAATCCTCTTCTGCTTTAAAACGGTTTTCACTTCCGCGCCTCCATCCAATTACGATATTTAACATAACGTTTTATTTTCTAACACGCATGCAAACAAAAGGAAACAATTTCTTCACAAATAAAGTTTTGCGAATTTTAAAGTCCTAAAGATTACATTCTCAGCCTGGATGCTATACCTTGCGACATAACACGCATTTTTTTTGTAATCGTTGAGTGGTTAATTTCAGCCGCGGAAAGTTTATACTGTAAACAGTTATTACATTGTGACTTTTGAGTTGTTAACTGTGCCTTGCTCATCAGCACCTCGGAGGGCGGGTCCTAACCTATCTCATTGAAGCCAAATTCCTTCTCGTACTTTCTACTGATATAGATATCGAAAGAAAAGATTAACTGTTAACTCTTCAATTTAAGAAAAGCCGTCTCTGTTGCTTATAAGGGGCTATTCATGTGCTATCTGCGGGAGTTTATTCACCAATTAATCTGGCGTAAAACATTTACGAAAGGAATGTTTCCCTATACACATAAGAAGTCTTTAGAAATATTGTTCTAAGCTCCTATTGTTTCTTTGAAATTGCCGACACAGCCGGATCTTGCGTGCAGTTTGGCAGGGATAAAAAAACAAAAGTTTTTCTTTTAGTCTCCATGCGGAAATATCAGCAAATTGAATAGAAGGAAAACTAAAGCGGATGGTTTTCTCTATGGCAAAGTTATCGTTTTTGTTGCACCATATTTAGCCAGTAATCAGCCTATTCGTAGATCTAGGTATTTACTCAAGCTAAATTCCAACACTTTCGTTCCGGGGTATTAATAGTAAGGCTTTAAAGATAACAAATCTTTATTTGCTTGTGACATAACTTTTAAATCTATCTGCAATACGAAGCCGTCCTTTTGTTAAATACCTGCTTAATCATATGATAGAGGAAGTTCTTAAACCTCATCTCATTGATGCCCTCTGGCTGGCATATTCGTCACAAAATTGCTTGGTATTTCCACATCAATGCATAATTGATTTCAATTTGGCTTCACTTAAGACCAATCACAACTTTTCCGCTTTTCAACACATGAAAAAAAAAAAAAAAAAAGCCATGACGATTTCGCTCGTTGCATCTAAATTATTTATTACTGACCCATTGTGTTAAAATGTGTCAAGGAAGTCGCTTCTCACTGCGGCAAAGCTATCAACTTATCATTCAGCGGATTGCCCTTTCCCTGGGCTCAGTTTTCCTTGGAAAATACGACCCTTATCAAATTGTCCAATTTCCGGCTGAAACAATAAACTTGGCAGTTCATCAACTCATCTCACGAGTCTGAACTTTTTTGGTCTTGAAACGCGAGTCTTTTGTCATTCAAAATAGAATGACGTACATCTGGAGGGACGAAAATTTCAACCACGTAGTAGGATTAGCAATAAAATAATACTGTCCTGCATAGTGGGCAGAAAAAATTTCGAGTACTGTCACAATCATTGACCGCGCGTATCTGCTGCAGTAGTAGATACGTATCGAATATTTGGTAGGTTTTGTCTTTAATTGATTTTTTCATCGAATTATTAATGATACTTACTGATTTTTACCAAAAAATCGGGTATTTGCGAATGAAAGAGGTCTCTAAGGAAAACTCCTATAAAACTTAATTTGATTTTGTTGGAAAAGCATAAGTTTTAGATTGTACATCGTCAAATTCCACGTTGGACTCGAAATGCTAGTCACTTTGAGAGGTTTTGTGAATGTTATCACAAAAATGCGTACAGCTTTCATTTAATAGGATGTTGACCACACATGAGGGCTTCATTATTGGCCTAGCTGACAGACTCGTGGAATTTCTCAGGCAAAGACTGGAAAATCGCTGAGGTTCCTCTGGTTGTAACATCAAATTGTAATAGTGTTTGAATTGAATAAGAGCGCTCTGCATTTCAAAGTAGTGAGAACTAAAAAATTCAAGCAGTGCTGTCTAAACTAATTTGCATGTAGTTCAAGAATGCCGTTGTTTACAGTCAGTACTTCATTCATTAGGTTTTTTTTTAACCTATTACGCCCGTGATTGTTATGTAAGGTGGCAATTCATTGAGAAAGAATACTTCTATTCTTGACGTTTCTGTCGCAATTTTTAAAGGTTTGTTGATTTAGCGCCAAAAAATTACATTTTGTTTAGTTATCCTCTATTTTGTCTCCCGAGGAGACTGCCCTCGTCGGTGCAGCTTATCTTCGTTGTTTTGTTACTGAGTGATAGATGTTATCTATGTTAGCGTCGTTTCAAACAGGATTACGACAGCGATAGATACAAGTTTGAGAGACCCGAAACACATAGATGATTTAAGCACATAAACTCCGTAACAGTTACGACCAACTTTAGGTAGCAAAGAGTTTACTACGACGTTTACTATTAGCGACAGACATCTGTTGGACAAAGTTTTAATTGATAGTGAGAATTTGTCAGTTATGTTTTTTATTTTCTAAATACAGATAAGCAGAGAATTTGATTTTATCATATTTTTTTATGATATATTGAAAAAATGCCATTCTCTGTTTGTTACAACTTCTTGTTTCAGTTTTCCTGAACGTACAGGCACGAAAATGGCGCGAAATGGGGTGGCGTTCACTGCTCATTTTCCCGCCAGTCAGGCATCTCTGCAAAGCACTGCGCCGCACAGTTCCAAGAATTTTGCATTTACTTACGACGACTTATACAACTGTTTGTATCGCCACAATGAGCTACAACTAATCGACATCGAAGCATTCAAAGCACAAAGAAAATCAAGTCAAACAGACGCGGAAAAACAAAAGGAAACGACTAGTAAGTTAACAAAACAAACCATTTTAATCTTTACAACATTGCGTGCCAAATTATAAATGTCCTATAGTACTTAATAACGATATTACCTCGAATTCAATCTTGTATTCAGCAAATTTGTCTTGCATTAATCTTATTGCTGCTGTCAATTTGTGATCTTGAGGCTTTTTGCAAGTTGATCCCTCTATGCATTTTTTTTTGTCTCATAAAAACAAACTGTGGAGAAACAGCATAAAAATGAACATCGATAACTTGCGCTCGAGAAATGGATGCGAGTCATCTTAACCGCAAAAGCAATACAATTGTTGTTTTTTCGAAACCCAATTTTCCGGTTTAAACCGAAAGGGAAGTGAGTTGTGAGTATTTGCTGGTTGCAGGGGAAGACCCCCTGAAGTAGAATGTTATGATTACACAAGTACCGCATTGAACACGAGAAACTAGAATATTCGAAGGAAAAAAATCGGTTTTCTTATAAAATAGACTTTGTTTGTTGTGGTGTTAAAAATAGTACCTGTTAATCTTTATTCTACCGCCAGACATACCATGGTGAAAGTGGTTTTTGTCCATTGTCTACAACAGCGTTGCTATAACAGGAATTGTAATTACTTCCTTCTTTAAGGAGAGGATCTTCTTAAAGGCAAAAATCTAAAATTGAACAGATTTTCTTTCATAGTTTCCAAATTCTGGTCATGTTCACTTAGCCCGCCCAACTGGACGACTAAATCACCCTTGAAGCTTGCTTGAACCGATATACCACTTAAGGTCACGACATTTCCGGCAAGCGGAAACTTCGGCAAATTTTGTTTTATCATCATTGCATTGAAAATCCCCACGATGCAAGATTTGGTGGGCGGAGCTACCATGGCGCGCGAGCTCACACAGATGACAGAACGCTTTGTTGAAATTTTTAACATTTTTCAATTACGTGTCTGGAGATAACTCTTCGTATCCAATGTCGGAAGAAGCTTTGCCAATGTCGGTACCTTTGAAGCTTTATTAATATCTTTCGTTAACAGTGTTTTCTTTATTTTAAAGTGAATAGTTCTGGCAATCACCCCGATTTTGAACAAACCTTTACAATCACTATTGGAAAAGAAAGATTGCGAAAAAAAATTAAGAAAGGGGGGAGGGGGGGGAAGGTATTCCCAAGCAATATTTCGACCTCACGCTGGGGGCTCTGTTTTAGAACTGAACTGTCACAATGTTCCGTCCGTTTTGTGTCTTCCTTTCTTTTGCTTTGTTAAAGTAATTCCCTGACAATGTGTCTCTTTTAGTTCCCTCAACAAAGCTTTTTTTCTGAAAAACTTACTGAACAATCTTATGTTAAACGGTTCTGAACTGGGTCAAAAGCTTTCTTCGTATAAGTCATGACCATGATTCACAGAAGAGCCTTTTCCTGAGCACTACTGTGTATTCTAAGAGAATGCTGAAGCCACGAATGTGACTGCCATTACGTGATTATGGCCTAAAAATGATTAGTCTTGTATTTGTATCGTGGCTGTTGTTTATAATGGCTAACTTACCTCTTGCACAAATATTTTTCTTCTGAATTTTGAGCCATTTTCGTTTTGTGAGAATCTTTTACCAAACGGAAAGCGTGGTTGAATCCATTTTTTAAGGGATCAAAGGTCAATTTTTTACTGGCACCATCTGAAGTTGTGCTCTAATGATTATAACATTTTATTCAGGAAAAAAGCGTTTCCCCTCCTGATAAAACTAAACACGTGTAATTCAGATTGTAAACGTATGTTAGCCAAAGGTAATTTGCGTGGAATGTGGCAAAAACTTTCCTGTCTTACTTCCTAACTTAATTCACTCCTCTGGACAGTCTCTTTTTGTGTTATGATTTTGGATTTGCTCCAAAAGTTTCGTTTGTCTGCCAAAACAAACCACGTCCGGGAGATAATTGAGGGTGGGAGAGGGGGTGAGTGGGGGACTCCATACCCAGGGGGCTGGGAGTCTGTACTACCAACACATACGCTGCTTGTGCAACAATGAAAAATGCCTCTGTTACAGTAGAAAAATAACATGATAATTTTTCCTTTTTGAATTCGTAGACTGTGATGCATGTCGTTCAAAGCAAGACGCATGTCCAGTGCACAAAGTTCCAAATTCTGGAAGGAAACTTCTTATTCCAGGACAGAAACAACCGGTCAAATTTAGTTACGCCATAGCGTCCTTTCCAGAAGAAGTGCAGCTCTGTGTGTCAAGTATTCCTGGGGCAGGTTGTGGAGTCTGCGCAAAGCAACATATTCCTGTGGGCACGTGGATTGGACCATATGAAGGAAAACTTGTTAAATATGATGACGTTAAACCCAATACAGACACCTCTTACATGTGGGAGGTAAGTCCCTTATTTTGAAACCAAAAGAAAGTCAAAATCGAAGTATCTGAGGGCGGATGTATTAGGAAAATGGAAACTGTACTTAATTTACTAAAATCTTGACTGAAACGTAATTTCTTTGGACCCTTAGGACTGCTTCACCTGTGTGTGTGTTTTTTTTTTCTTGCAGCTAGACATGTGTTTTCTAGGTTACCATTAGTTACAGAGTCATAACTACTTTATTTTTGCATCGACCATTTGCAGATTTACCAAGATGGCAAGCTCTCCCATTACTTGGATGCCAGCGACGAAAACACCTCGAGTTGGATGCGATTCATCCGATGCGCACGATATAGGGAAGAGCAGAACCTCTTCTCGTTTCAGTACTGCGGAAACATCTACTACCGGGCTTTCAGAGAGATATCCGTAGGGACGGAACTTCTCGTATGGTACGATGAAAAATATCCTCAGGATATGGGAATACCACTGGAAGTTCAAGATATGGCACTTGTGGACCCCAACGGTATGTCATAACAATGACGAAGCAACTTAGTTTAGGTAATTGAAAAAATATTGCTTTTAGGCTCTCAGTGTTTAAGAAACGAGCCATTGGTATGAAGTTCTAGGATCAGTGGTCGGCTTAGTGCTATTCTTTTAAAATGAAAGATTTTCATATTTTCTAAGGGAAGTTAAAACTGTAAATGGCAAACAAAGATCATTCTTTACCTCGAAGAAGGTTTTCTTTATTTAATTATTAGCTATTATTTGTCACAGTTGGGTTTTATCATTAAAAGCTCTTTTCGATAGTGCCCTCGAATGGGGCAGGAGTCCGATCCGCTTAAACGTAACTTAGCATTCAATCATTTGATCAGATTGCTTATCCACCTTTTGCTTATTAAATGCTATTCACGAACCTCGCCGTCCTTCTCTCTAGGTACCAGACTCCTTCAAGAGGTCTTAGCAGCACAAGGTCAAACGCAACCTTCAGATCGACCGATCAACACCAGGCAATTTTCTATGCCCGCAGTTTCAAGTCAGCCAACGGTTGTTTCAATTACTCCTACGAAGACATCTTCCCGAAAATCACCCCTCCCTGTTCCTCGTGACAACATGAAAGAGAGACCCTCGCCTACGTCTCCAAATGACACTCGTATTTCGTGGCACCACAAGGTTCCAAATCCTACTATTTCTCACAGCGCCATTCCCATAGGGAACAATTTCGTCCAGGCTGAGCGAACTCGAAAAGTGGAGCCGGTCGCTTTAAAAGAGGAAAGGGTTGTTATTGAGGATTGTGATGACGACAGAAGGTTCAATTTAGCTGAAGGATCAGAGATGAGCCTTATGAAATGCGGTCAATGTAGTCAGTCATTCGCGCAGAAGAACATGCTCCAGGTTCATGTATGCCCGCGTATGCCTAGGAGACCTTACACATGTAGCTACTGCTCTGAATCTTTCTCTTTACCTAACGAACTGCGCACGCATGTTGTCACTCACGCTAATGATAAGCCATTCAAGTGCGGCTATTGCTCGCGCACATTTGCTGGAGCGACAACGCTGAACAACCATATTAGAACACACACGGGAGAGCGACCATTTCTTTGTGATAAATGTGGCAAATCTTTCACACAGGCATCCCAGCTGAGCAAACATCAACGAATTCCTCACGAATGCAAGTACTAGGTCTGTAATTTAGTATCACTATTGTTTAGGAATTTCATCGCCTACAGGACACGTATTTTTATTTAGCCTTTTTGACGACAGGGTTTTTAATCTTCACACGATGAAAACTCTATATCAACATTTCTTGAAATCTTTAAAATCAGATAATTTGATCCTTATTTACAGCGTAAGTCTTGAGGCGAATTATTGTGATGGCTCGCTTAAAATTTTGGCGCGTTTTGTAGCAATGTTTATCTTCAACAGGTGCTGGCAAGCGCAACTGTACAAAGCTTCAATTGTCCGAGAATGAGACATAATTTAAGCCGACGCGACTTCTTCACTAACTGATAGTTGAGTGTAATGTTTCTGTATCCGAAATTTGCTGGTTATGTTTTTTATTTGAAAAAATCACCACAATGGTCACTTCATATTTTATTTGACCCGCAAGATCTTTTTTCATATCTGACATATGGTTTTCTTTACACCACGAAGAATTTTTTATCGCTAAGACGATGAACCTCGCATCAAGCGGGGAGTATAGAGAAATGTAAAAACAATATGTACATTGAAATGTGTAAATAAATAGATAAATAAATAAAACAAAAGACCCTATCCTAAAAACAATTTCTTCGTACTACCCTTCTATATTTCCAAGCTCTCCAGATATTTATTAGCCTCAGCTGAGCTCTTGGTCGGCGGAGGAAGCGGAAAAGCGGGCGAGTGAAATGGTAGGTTGTCCGAAGGAAAAGTTTCTTCCGTTTCCATTGATAGCGGGAGCCTGTTACAGGAAACCTTTCCACGCAACATGATTCTACTTACTTCCAAATACTAATGTGAAAAGTTCAAAAAGAGATTTTTCGCTGGAATAAGCATTGTAACATGTGAACTTTTGGAACCAGATTTAAGAGTCATGTGTCGCAGAGTAGGCAAGGGGGAGGAAATCTGCTTCCAGATTTTCCAATTCTTGGGAGCAACGTGACAATTTTCGATGACAATCATTACTCCTCAGCTCAAGGGTGATACTGAAAGCTTGAAATCAAACTTCTCTGAGTTACGTTCTTGCAAAGTTTCGTTTCCAGAGCAGTTTCCGCGGAAAATCGCAAACGAAAATGGGAAAACTTAATTAACGACATGTGTTTTGTTGCTTTTGTTGTACGCTCCAAAATAGATCTGGTCTATCTCGAAGGAAATAACACCACAGTGGGGACACCACAAAGACAATTAACTCTTTCACTCCCAAGATCTGACTGTTAATCCTCCCCTCTAGCTGCTACACATTTCCTCCTTTCCTAGGATAGCAGCTTCTGCCTGATAATTTAAAATAATCTCATTACCTGTTTGCTGATGTATGGATATCATAAAGAGAAGTTTCATGTTAATCACTTCTGGTGACGTCTAATAATCAACCATACGTACCATCAAGTTTTTGGTGAGTTTTATTTTTCAATTTTTACGTAGACCCTCGTTTTACAACATTTAAGTAATGGCAATTTAGTGCGATGCAAAGTGGTCTGAAATGCCACGTATTTCGTGATACAATCCCAAAGTCCCCGTTTATTTTGGTCACGAGATATTTTAAAGGGGGACTGGGTGAAACTAAATGGCTCTGGGGACGAGAAAGTATCTGATTTAGTAAAATGATCTGAATACAGATTTGAATTCTTGTGATGCATTTGAATTCTTAGAATTCACAAAATTTTCTTCATTTAACTTAAAATTCTCTCTTACGATTTACCTTCTTAATTTAACTTCAAATATAATCTACATTCGTCTCTTTTAACATAAAATTCGCTTGAAGTGTAATGAGTATGAAAACAAACGAAAAAGTAACAATTAATCTTGACTTCAGCGATTCAACAATAATGTGACAAAAACATAAGAAAAGGACAGAAAAGGAAGGAAGAAATAAGAGAAAGGAAAGGAGAGGAAAAGTGCCAGTGAAACTGTATGCGAAAGAAAACAAGCGCGTGTAAATGAACAGGGTGCCACTCGACACAGCACCATTTTTAATAACTTAAATTTCGTAATGACCAATAGACCAATCACAACCTAAGAGAGGTGGGGGAAGTGGCATCACACATGACATATTGAGTAATTTTCACCCGCCGGCAGGTTGTTTCCCCCCCCCTTATACCTCTACCCCTCCCCACCCCCCTCTTTTCCATAAGAACCTACCGAGCTTCAATTATTACAAAAACGAAAAAACATCAACACGTCAGCAACTCTTGAGAGACTACATTACATTGCTGTTGGGAGACCGTAAATTTTCTTTTCTTAACAAATTAACAATTGTGACCAAAAATAATTTTGAAATAAAAACTACGTAATACTTTTGTTATGGTATTATTGACTGGTGACATGTCGCTTAAATTTCCAAACTGTGTTCCTGCCAATGTCTGCTACGTACACAGCACCATCTTGACTTGAAGTGACATCATGAGGTTGTGAGAAGCCCTAAAATTACAAGTCGATTACGCAATAAGAACAAAACGTTTAGTTGAGTGAAAAAAAAAAAGTCTACCCAGCCGGAACTTCTTCCGGTTTCCTGAGCACTTAAAGATTAAAGTGAATACAAGTCCATCGCAAGTTATCCCTCGGCAATAAGACCGACCCAATCTTCACACAGTTGAAGTTATATTTTAGCGGAGCTCGCAAATCGTGCAAAGCGTAACACCATAGCTAAGAAAATTTGGTAAACCATCAAGCCCAGAAAATAACCGTCCAATCGGACATACACAATTATACTTAGAACATGCGTTTGCAGCTGTATTGCAGGCACATCCACACTGCCGCGTTACTCTTGTTCGGCAAACAACTAGGCACAATGCGTGCGCAAGATTTTAAGAAATTTCCAATCACAAAAGTAGCACGCGTAGGGGTTTACTCGGCTGAAATTTAATGTTCATGAAACTCCTCCTATCCTTCGCACTACATGCTTACCAAGGCTGGTTCCCAGTGCTGTAATACACTGCCTTTGTTCAAAATGAACGTGAAGCCCTGGGCTTCAGAGAAAGAAGGGCCGTTGACCACATGTAACACACCACCTGGAAAAATTTAAGATAGTTGTTTACATAGCTACATGTCTTAAGCAGTGTATATTAATTTATTAATATCTTGTTAATAAGTAATGGATGAAAGTAAATTCTATGTGCATACCTTGCTCAGGATGATAGTGTACGGCAAAAGCTCTTTCCCCAAATGCTTTGATTTCGCGAACGAGATGACCGTTAACAGAGTCAAACTGTAGCACTCGGCTGTTTTCTCTGTCGGCTACAAACAACCGACGGTTCTTCTCGTCCAGGGACAAGCTGTGAGGGATCTCAAAATTACTTGGAACTGAAAGAAAGGAGACCAAGGATCACTGATGTTTCCCTTTTATCCCATGAAAGCACTTGCAAGATATGTTCTTCAAGATCAAGTCTTTGAACTAGGTAAAGGTGAAAGGGAATCGATCAGATTTGAAATAATTTACGACTATTCATAACACGAAACATTTCAAACGCTCAAACACAAAGACTGGACGTAAATGTAAAGAACTACCACTTGGACAATCGTTTAGAGGTCTTTAGATAAGAGTGTTGACCCACCAAGCCCTTGCAATTTTTCATTCGTTATCATCAAAAGTACTTTCTTGCCATCAGGGGAAAACTTTATGACCCGATTATTACAGTATCTGAAATGTAAGAAAAAACACGGAATCAGGAAATATTATATAGGAAACTGAACGACACTCTAACAACAAAAGCAACGCCAAGAGCAGACAATTCGAAACACCACAAGAACGTCATAGTTTACCCGTCAGAAACAAAGATATTCCCCTCTGAGTCAACAGCGACGTCGGTTGGTTTACAGAAATGATTTTCATCATTCCCCGGGACAAACTGTGTTCCTAGTGTCAGTGAGGCTCGCTTTTTCTCTCCCGGAGGAAACTTAAATACCTGTCAAAATTAACAGACATTCTAAGAAACCCATATGGGAAAAATTGACGCGAGAATTGAAGACATATTTACGTAAAACAGTTCCACGGCCAAGAGTTTACTACCAACCTGATGCATGGCTACATCTGTTAACCAAATGTTGCCCTTTTGATCGATGGTCAGCCCATGAGGCATAAAGAACCTGGATAGGAGAAAACGAGAAGTTTAAGAAATGGGTGTAGATAAGAGGAATGGGTGTGGGAGGAAGGCAGGACGATAGAGGCGGGAGGGGACAGAGCGGAAAAGAGGGGGAGGGAATGAGGAATTACGGGAAGGCACGGTAGGAGAGAGAGAGAGGGCACCAGAATACAACGAGGGTAAACGGCAAAGAGGAAGTAGGGAGCTAAAAATTAAAGGAGGAAATGAGAATTTTTGCAACTGGAGGAGGAAGTGCAGGGAGTACAGAACTGAAGCGGGAGCATAAGCAGTTAAATGGGGAACGAGAAGGGAGGACTAGGTGGTACGGAATTGGAGAAAGAGTGTGCGTTCATAACATATAGACCACCAGCAAAGTAAGACATTTACATTCTTTCTCCCCAGCTGTCAATAACTTCCCCTGTTTGTGGATCCAACTTCATCACAGTCGATTCTGGGATGGGATCACTTGTAGCGGAGAAGATATTGTGCTCATCGAACGAACTGCAACCAGAAAACACTTGTTAAAAAAGGTCTTTTAGTAGGATTTGAGGCACGGCTTGGAAAACAATGAAAACTGCGCTGAGTTATCTTTACGGCGCTTTCACCCCGTGCACCCTAACATCAGTATGCATATTCTCCATACTGTTCTCTGTACATTTCTTTCGATTTCTTTAGGGGCTGACAAGAAGAATTTGTTTTAACGATCGAGACCTTCTTTAGCGGGTGGTCATTTCCTTTATTCTCGTGATCCTAATGTTTGATTCCGGGATGATATTGTAAGGAGAAATTAGATACTATTCATTCCTAGGAGTTAAAGGGTAAAACCAGACGTGATGCAGACACTTACTCAGCTTGCCATTTTCTTGATGCTCGATGGAATATGAGCACTTTTCCTTCCGAATCAATTTCGACGGCAGTAACTTGACCAAGTTTACTCGACCGTCTCATAACGTCAGCCAGCTTATTTCCTTGCCAACTCTGATCTTCTTCAAGTAGCAAAGGCGAACTCTCGCCATCGCAATTCGGTGCGCAGAATCCTGAAATAAGTCACAATCAGACATGGTTTGATGCTACTCTGGTTTACAGATTTAATGAATGTAACCGAAGAAGTTACAATTCACAGACCCACAGTGTTATACGATTAGCCACAGTGTTATACGATTAGCCACAGTGTTATACGATTAGCCACAGTGTTATACGATTAACGTTATAACCTTGAGCACCTTCATCGTTCAACACTAGCCGCGCGAAGCAAGATCTGGTGTCTCTCAAATATAGAAAAAATTGCAGAAATCACCAAAACCAATCCACATCCACCCCGGAAAGTTACAAAATACTATTTTCAAACATTCAGCATTAGATAGATAAGATTAAAATTATTGCTATCCGCTTCTCGAAAGACATACACTGATAAGAAGAAAAAAGTGAGATCGCAAGATAATTTATAATCACCTAGTTTAAGGCACCCGTTACTACTCGCCATCTATGAAGAGGAGAGTTAAGCCCATCTTCACCTCCTTAACCTAATTAACAACGCAGACATTATTCTCAGGTAGTTTAGATCTAGTTGATCTCTTTGATTTTATCTTCTCATCTTTCGGCCACCTTTGACTTTACAATCAGAATTAAAGTAACTTAACCAAGGACCAACCGTGTGAAAAGGGATTAACGGAGGGGGAAGGGGAGGAATTGCACAAGGGAGGGGGGGACTTGTCTCTAAGAGTACCAACACTTTCAGGTAAAGGATTGGGTAGATTGCAAATAGAAAAAATTACAATTCTTGAATCTGGAAATGTTGATTGTGACGTTAACTGATACCTATTTCGCTAAATACATCATAGAAAACAAGGCAAGATGTGATAACAACATCATGATCACGAAAAAAAAAAAAAAAAAAAAAAAAAAACAAAAACAGAGATCTGCTGATCATGCTTTAAAAAATAACTTTATTCTTTATCGAGATGCAATTGAACTTCAAAAGAAGTTATAACAAGCCATTGGTGTCAAAAAGTTAAAACATAGTTTATTATTTTACTTTCACTGGGTTAAACATTTAAATAAATACACCGCGCTTAGTGTAGAAATATTTTGTCGGTTACTTTAACCGTGAAAATTATTGGCGTTTCTAATTGAATTCGTTGAACTCTTCTTATCTATTTTTTGGATGACATCTTTTATTAATATCTTCCATTGAAACATTTTTCCAACCAGTTCTTTCATCAGATCGCATCTTTCAACGCTTATCACTTTCATCAAAGCTGGCCTGCGATTAAAAGAAACGAAACAAAAAAAAATCAGCGCTTTGTTTAGCTCGACAACGAGAGGGATTTCGCGGTCAGAAAGATGAAAGTGATAGCAGCAGAGTCAAGCGCGCAGAAAAGATGAGATGAAACTGGAAAAAGAGGAAAGCGCCATCTAACCCTTCCGCATAGAACCCGAAACCACCCATGTAAAACCTGAAAGATTCCGAGAAAACTCGAAATAACCTGTAACCTACAGGAAATTTCACCCAGACGATTCTAAGCCTTTTGAAAACGACTTGAAATCGAAACCCGTTAACAACCACAAAAATCCCGCATATGGCCAAACCCACTGCTAGAAGAGGCTTCATGAAAAAAAGAAAAAAAACCTGTATGTGACTGACTGATACTCCCAAGTTGAATTTAAGTGATCGTTTCCCATAAAACAATAGTTACAGTTTCATTGAATGAACCACCTACTTTCGCCAAGGTTTCTTTTCATCTCCATTTTTGGTCCACTGCCTGGTAACGGGACATCAGAGTCTGACGGGAAGTCGAGCTGTCTCTCGTCAATAATCCGACACATGTCTTCGACACTGTCACCTCCCAAGTCATTCAGTTTTGGGTCATACCAGTACATCATGTAAAAATTACACATTTCGTCCTTCATAGTTGCTCTGCAAAAAATGAGGTATAGCTAAAAAAATTAAGCTGTAACTTAAGTGAGAGAAACACAACTATGGTTTTGGAATACAGCTTAATGCGGCTAAGTGCCAAACTTTTCAAGTGAAAACGGGTTGCATTTGAAAAAGAATGAAATATCATTTTCATGTTAACGACATCCGCCCATAATTTCTCCCTTCTGGCAACTATTAATTTCCTTGTAGGGCAATTTTCAATCGAGTTGTGAAACAAATTAAGGATCACATTGGTTTTACTTTTGTAAGCTCTGTAATTGGTCCAGAGTACTCGCACCATCCTCTTAACCAATCAGATTTAAAACCAAAGCCAGTCGCACCTGCGTCACACGCGTTTTCCCGCGCTTTGAGCGGTCTGCTTACTTTTACATATAATTATCATTTTCTCGTCGTGTTATTTTCCTTTCCTCTAATTGGCTATTTGGTTTTACGACACTCAATCGAAATGCGCTCTAAAGTAACAGAATTTGCTGTTCTGTCAAGATTATGTTTGAAATGTATGTCGACTCTCGTCACCAGTTTGTAGGATAATGTATTGATATCGTAACAAGTTACATGTTTATGACTTCTGATAGTAAAATTGTAAACATACCCGATATATGTTACATGGTCTCTCTGGGTTGAATTGTAAGTGCATCGGGCAGCCTGGCGATTGAGAGTATTAAATATTGGATATCAGGGAAAATAAACTCGGCTTCTATTACAAGTTTCACAAGGAAAAAAACCCTGAGGCATGGGTCACCTACGAGACGCACAGGACTAAAACAGACATTTGTGAAACTAGAAAGAAAGTGCGCAATGAAAGAGATGGAATGCAAGACAATTAATGGAGACACCACAATACGACAACGATGCTCGAAACCAAACTGGGAACACAACACTTCAGGGAAGAAGAAAAAGGTCAAGTTTTTATTACCATAGAATCCCCACTTTTTATATCCACATCTTTATCCACTGGGTAAAACGCCTGAAAAATAATCAAAAAAATATATTAGGGCCAGAATACTCTAGGAAATGCCAAGAAACTTTGCACTACATCCTGTCAGTTGTTTACATGAATTCAACGCCTAGCGTAAAAGAATAATAAAAGAACAAGAATAAAAATCATTTCAATGAAGTGCCTCAAATCAAAACTGAAAATGTGTCATGCAAGAAAAAGGGTTGTCGTATCTATCAAGCTTTCATTTTTGGTTTTGGTTCAGTTGTTTTTGTGATGGTTGATGGTCACTAATTTCTGATTTGCAAAAAGGTGCTCAAATGTTACCCCACCTGCGGCCGCTGTGGATCTCCTTTCCCTATGAGAGTCCATTTTCCATCACGTATTCTGTAGCCAGTAATAACACTCCCTATAACGATTTCACAATGAAAAACATATAAATACTCTGTGAAATAAACCTGCGTTCGTAAACAATTACCGCATCATTCTACAATTTGAGAACTCCGTAAAGTAAACAGTCTCACAATGACTTAAGTCAAGCTTACCAAGAGAATGGGCGTGGACTCGGAAAGCAAAAGGGTGTAGGTCGGGTCCATAGCGGTAACCACATCCAGTGTCTAAATGCCAGGCTAAATAAAAAATAAAGAGTAAATGTCAAAGACGCAGAGACGATGATTTACAACGCTTAAAAAATTAATGGAGTGGTCACCAATTGGTAGAATAAAGAAATTATAGAAAGAAAAATACATGTCAACTAAAGATCGTCTGTGTATAACTTGCCAAATGCTTTAGTTGAAATCATTTGCAGTTCAGCTCAGAATACTATTGAAAATAGTACATTTTCTAGCAATGACAACTATTCACTTGCAGGATTACTTTAGCCAACCGTGCCTGTCTTGTATGGTCATGGCTTTGGTTACAGGGTTTATTGCGATGTGACTATATGAATTGGGAGCCCGAGATTGACAATAATATCGTAAACGGTTACTGTACTTTATCAGTGCAACCTTCCAGTAAGTTAATTCGAATCGACCTTCTCGTTGGCTGATGTATAATGCCTTAACAACTTTGATGTCAGAAGTTAGGTAGCAGCAACAATCATTTTGTGTGATTGTGTAGCCTGATCGTCTGAGTGAGGTTAGTCATGAAAGGAATGATGTCGTTAGTAGTGATTGATGTTTTGACAAACTGAGTGGAAGTCATCATCAGAGTCAAGTGGAAAGTTTGTTGTCAGTTAAGTGTACAGAGTCCAGTTCGTGTAACAATCGTTTCAGTGGTTGTTTAGGCTTGTCAGGCGATGAACGGCAATATCAGTTGTTGTTGTTGTTGTTGTTTTTTTTTTTCTTTTTCATACAATGTAAATGCATGTGTTCAATTGGTCAAGTTGCATACACTCAAAAAGTTTGGATAATAAGATAAACAACATCAATCAACCTTTCTCATTTGCAGGAATAGTTCCACCAGAGGCTAAAAGAAATATCGCAGCCAAATGACTAGGTCTGTGATGAGGAGAGAAACAAAACTGTGAGAATGGAATTTAAAGATCAAAGAACAATTGGGCTTATTATCATAGATGTGTAAGCACATGAGGATTTTACCTCACTTTAGAACAAGTTTTGCCACAGAGATCTTGGAACAAAATGAAAAAAGAGGGGATTCCTGCCAGAGTGATGTCATGCATGGCTGAGATCAGGATCACTGTCAGGGTCAGGGAAGTTGTTACAGAAAATACTTGCATTTACATCAAGTGTTCCAGTGGATTTAAGATGAATTATGTTCAGTTGTGACTTCAATCAGCCCCAGTATGATTTATCATGCTATTCACTGAACCAGTCATGATAGGAGGAGAAACTGTCCTTTCTTACAAATATAACAATGCCACATTCAAACAAATAGTAATAACAGCAAGAAAGCTAAGAACTACAAGCAAAATCACAAAAACTAACTAACTGGCTAACAGAGGAAAGATTATTTTAGACCAGAAGGACAAATTGCTTGCATTGCCCAAGACCATTGTTCAGCCATTATTCAGCCATTAACTGACATTAAAAAAGATGCAGGCGATTTGAATGAGTGAATGGGTGAGTGTTTATCAGTTTTATTGTAGAGGAGATTGCAGGTCTCATTTTTGTCAGAAACAAAAAAAAAATCATTAAGATTGAAGTAAAGAATATCCTGCTAACACACAGCCAATCCATTCTGGCTGATAAGCTATGTTTAGGTTTCAGACTTCTTTGAAGGACAGTGTAATCACTAAAGAAAATGTGGATTTAACAGTAAAATCCTCTCTTATACCTGGAGTAACTAACTTCACATGGGAAAATTGAATGGAAAATTTGCCAGCAGGATGAAAACTCATTTATTAATTAAATACACACTACTGCAATTTAGATTTTAGGACCTTTTTTTATATGGTATAGTTAAATTATCTGTTCTTCATTTGAATGTACTTTTGAAAATTTGGCCTTTTAGTTTATGTTATGCTCAAACAACATTTACTCTCAGAAAACCATTTAGTCTATTCAGTCAAAGAAAAGAAGTGGGCATTAGGCAAGTTATACAATTGATGTTCAAGCAAAATTAAATCTTTACTTTGAAAACCTGAGTTTTACTGTCTGATTTAATCTCTGAAAATCAAAATTTATACTTTTAAGTTGTTAAGAATATTTTCTCTTAAACTGTCAGTTTAAAAATTGCTAAATTGTTTCATAGTAACTGATTTTATGCTATCATTCAGAATACATTGATAATGATGTACATGAAAAAAAATCCTTCTTCTGATTGGCTAAAAACAAGTGCATTCTCATGTAACACAAGTGCAAATTACAAAGAGCATGTGCAACCTTTCAAAATTTTGTCTATCCTGACTTTCTGTGATGTTTTTCATGTACATTATTAACAAGTAATAACATGATTTCTTTAGCAAGTTAGTGTTAATAAGCACTTGTAAATTTTTCAGACCACCAATTGCACTTGCCCTACCGGCTTGTGCAATTTTTTTGTCTTTGAAAAATTAACTTGTGCTTATTAACACCAAATTGCACTCAAAATCATGCTATTACCCATACTATCAATTTAATTCATAATTTCAACCTTGTTTTTTGGGTGGGACAAGGGACCAACTAACAGCCAGGATCTTGATGCCAGCCTTGTACTGCGGCCTACATATAGCAGGAGGAGCAAGGGAATCTGTTTTATTTGTGACTTGTTCCTTACAAGACACAGTGGCAAAAAAGTGAACAAAAGGAAAGAGGGAAGGAAGCCAGTGAGGAGAAAAGTGGTAGAAACTAAAATAGGAGGATGATGTACACTGTGGGAAAGACAAGGGGGTAAGTGAGAAAAAGGGAGAGAAGGAGGGAGGGGGGGCAAGTGAGAAAAAGGGAGAGAAGGAGGGAGGAAGGGGTAGGGAGAAAAAGGGAGAGAAGGAGGGAGTGAGGGGTAGGGAGAAAAAGAGCCAAAAGAGGAGGTAAAAAAAAAAAACAAAAATGAAGGAAAAGAAGAAGATGGAAAGTCACACTCATGGAAGGAAGGGAATTAATCTTATAAAGGCATTTAAGAAAATATATCAACTCATTTACCTTAAATGCAGCACATATTTGTGTTATCTAGCTATTGGTACTTAAACTAACTAACAGCACCAAGACTTCTTACCCACGCAGTTTGTGGTTATCATTCCATGACAAAAACAATTTTCACAGTGTATGTGCAGCTAGTTTAAAAGCTGAATTTTCAGTGTCACCTTGCCCTGATTCCTGCAATACCTTGAGCATAGAAAGTAACAATTAAAATACTCACTGGACTCTTGTTGTTTGTAGGTCCACCCCTGAATAATCTTTAAGACTAGGATTGGCTGTGAAAAATTGAAGCATATAATTCAGATGCACCCTAATAAGACATTTTTTAAAAATGGAAAAGTATTTGTTGACCTTCAATCCCTGTCAGGGGGGACATGGAATGGCCACTTATTACACAACTCACCAACAAAGTTATCCACCTTTCCATAATGAACTTGAAGTACAAGATAATTGCCTCCCACTTCAAAGGCAACATCTACAAAATCAACAACAATAATTTTTTAAGCCTACAGTAGTTGTATGACTTTTAACAAAAAAATTAACCCTAAACCCCTAAATGGTTGAAGGGTTAATTATTAATATTGCTCTCCCAACAATATCACCCCTGAGTCTAACATTATGGTCATGAGGAAATTATCACCAACCAAACAAGCTCTTGATTGTTGAAAAAATTCACTTTGTCAGCACCTTAGAAAATGTATAGAGAACAGTATGGAGAATATACATACTGATGTTAAGATGTAGAGGATTTGTACATATGTATGTTCAGTGTCCTCATTTTTATCAGTCAGACTGTCATTTTCATTTTGATCTTTCTGAGTTCAAATGAAGTATATCACACTTTGGTCAACTAATGGTTATGAATTCAAAGCAATTGACATGCCAGTAGTATTACAGAAGGCCATGAGGTGATGGTGAAAAATAAGAGGTAGAGAGCAAAAGGAACGGGAAAACTAGAAATAAGGAGGGCACAGATCCTACAATAGTCCTTTGTACAATTGCATGCTTGGTTGCCAAGCCTTTGAACAGGAGTGAGGCTAAGGATGATGTTGTTATGATACAAACCTTGCTGCTTTTCAAATGCAAATTACTTTGTTATCACGCTAACTAGATGCTGGTCTCTATCACAACCAGGTCACCTTCAGCCTCAAATCAAAGGCTTGGCAACTAAGTACACAACTGTAAAATGGCCTATTCCCTGCAAAAATTATTACAAGCTTACATGTAACAGCTATATTTGAAAAACAGCCTATCAATGCATTTTCTCAAAGAAAAATAGATGGTTGACACACTGGACATTGCTGCTTGATTAGAAGATAAAGTGATTTTCCTGTGTTAAAAAACTATGCAAAGGCCATTTTGGGAATCTTAAGTAGAGGTATGCCTTTGGCATGGTGAGTGATGACTTCTCTCCCACTTTGTGTTTCAAAATGCTCCACCACCTATATGAAGATCTCATCAATGTTCATAATGATGAGGATGATGATGATGACAACAGTAACAACTTATTTTCCTGCCTTACCCTTTGGAAGCTTCAACACAGGAGCATTTCTTCCCCAAGCATACAATATTCTCTCTCCACTGCCTTTACATACACCAGATCCCATATCCCCACAGTTCCTAAAACAAAAACAACTTACCTGTAAGTAAGTAAATATTAATGCATTCATTCAATCAATAATCAACATTCATCTATTGTTGACAGCCTGTTCTACAATATTGCTGCACTATTCATTGCAACATTGAAACATTGAACTAAGTTTTTTTTAAAGAATATAAATAGACTACTGTATAAAATCTTTGCTTATTTATTTATCTATTAATTAATGTTCAATCAGTTTAATTTGCACAACAACATTTTTCACATAATACGACTTGAACAAAGAGCAAGAACTTCAAAACATTTTTAATTAATCGATTCTCATGTAAAAGCTCTTCTTGTCAGATTGGTGATGTGAGAAAAAGTAATTGGGCTAAATAAATCGTCCAAACAGGGTTATTTTTATCAGAATCAGAGTGTTCATGGGAACAAAAAAACAAAATCTTTCAATCGATGTTCTCTCCTATGATGAAAGTCATGTGTCATTAATTTACTAAATTTTGGCTGTAGGAATTTTTATTCCCTGTAGCATATCAACATTTGAGTAATACTTTTCTTTGACATACCAATATTTCCCTTCACTTGCTAAAGCATTTTCCCCTGGTGTTGGACATCCAAACAATAACATGTGATGTGCTGTGTGCATTTCAGCATGAGGTTCAAACCCAGCTGAAATGAATTATAAAAAAAGGTGTTGCTTGAATTGTTGCTCAGCTATGAACAAAGGTGTTTATAATTACATGGTTGCACAACTACGTTCTAACACTACAAGATTGTAACCCATGCACAGTTGACATAAGAGTTATATGCTTGTCTGCTAACTGCTCCCTGTTAGAGTTACATTCCTTTAGCTGTGGTATCATCCTTCAACATTACAGCACTTATCAAATAATTGGTCTTGGTTATACAAAAGTAAAATTTATAGGAAACATATTACCTATGTATGCTTTCTTGTTCCTAAGATCCACGGCAGTACAAAGGTAGGAATCATGCTGTAAAGTAATTGAATTGTATGTATTGAACTCTAACACTGCAGCTTCTGTTGCATTTACTGAGGGTTGAATGGCTGATAAACATCTCTATAAAATGATTCATTCTGGTAAATTCAAGAATTTACCAGAAAAATTAAAATTGATCAGTTCACATCTCTGGGAAGGAATAATCTCTTTTATCTCTAAGAGAACGCCATCCATTTATAAAAATTATTTTTCGTAAAAGGCACAAATTCAACCTATGTAAATGTCACAGAAGTTGAACTGGTAAAGACTCGCATAAAGTTATTGATATGATATGTAAAATAATATGTATAACTTTGGTGAAATTTGTGTAGGGCTTTTCCACCAAATAAAGCAAGCAAACATGACGTTATTCAGTTCCTTCGCTTTTAGCCAGTATTTAAGTTATTGTGATCTCCGATTGCATGACGGAAGTATAAAATTTTAATAGTGTTTTCGATTGCTAGTCACTTTGTCAAATGCAGAGATGAAATTCGCTGGATTTTTTAAACAAAAATAAACCATTCATTCGAATTCACTGTTTATCAAACGTATTTAACTTGTATATATTTTTTTCTCTTTCCATTTGTAGATCAAGTGGGTTCAAAAAATAAAAAGAATCGCCCACCCAAGAATTAACAAAGGGAAACAGCTGTTCGGAAAATTATTATGCAAATCGAGTGGAATATAATTGACATCACATAAAAAGCTTAGCTTATCAATATGCCTGCGGCCGACTGTCAAATTCGTTGGACAAACATCTCCTCAATTTTAATATTCCCCTTGTTGAAATTCAAACCATTAGGTTAAAATGGAGAAACTGTTGTGCTCACATACATCGAAGCTTCAAATAGTTCTCTATTAAGCTTTTGCGTACGATTTGCATTTTCGAGCAACTAAATTTGGCACACAAACATGAATAAAACTTCGAAACACGATCTTGACGTTTACAAAACCCTTTGACCCTATGATTTCCTCTTTAGGTTCTCCTATAAACTCAGAGAAAATTTCAGGCGAAAAAACGTGTGGAAAGCTCTGGATTTACTTTCCTACGAGTATAATGAGGAGGAATATGTAAAAAAATAATTAGCCGCCCATCGAAACCAGTTGATTAGGAATAACTGAACTGTGGAAGAACAGAGGCGGTCGGATGAGTCGATAAAATAACTGGGGATAGATTGATCTCTTCGTTCCGAAAAATGAATCTTTCGCGCTCGTTTTCAACTATGTTATGTTATACAAAAATATTTATACGTTTTTCGAATATAATTCCCATATATATAAGCTCGAAGAGCTGAAAAAATTATCTGTAAAAGGGATACTTAAAGAAAGTACTGCTAACCTTAGTTGGATGAACGCCAGGCATAGCGAGTTTCACAATTCCTGAAGACTTGCCGTCACTTTGTTGCTTTTTGACAGAAGATCTTTGGTACAGGTTATCGTAATAACTTCTTAACTGTTCATCGTAGTCTCCGTAGGAGATGGACATCGTTATAAACGAAACGGTCCACAAGACAACAGAGGCGAAGCTCCCGATCATGTTGATCTTGAAGAACAGGGATTCAAAATTACAACCGTTCGATTCCGTTCGTAACTACCGTACAACACCGTAGAATCCAACAGCGCGTTATATTCCCTTGATGTCTCACAACATATCTTCTTCTAATATGAAAAGAGAAACAGAGCAATTCTCTGTTTATTAATTTGTGATCAACGAAACACCCGCCAATGTACCCCCTTCTTTCTTTGTTAGTTATGTATGCGATCTCTCATCGCGAAGTGATGTAGTGAAGCGGAAAAAATATTTAACAGACAGACCTGTGATTGGTCCATTGTTCAAGATTTTTCACCTGTAACAGATGATGAGCGCGATAATCAGCTTGCTAGGGAAATATCGAAGTGTTTTGATCGCAGTAAAATATCACAATTATGGTTTCTTCGTTGGAATTTGAAATCAAAACTCTTTAAAAAAGAAATTATTGAAATTGTTTGGGTTTCTGACCCTCCTAGATACGACGCATAGCAAACCAGTGACAAATAGTATTTTTCTTAGGCGTTGATTCCATTGTGTCTCAAACAACATTGATTCTCTCATTGTTCCAATCCATTTTCGGCTTTTCATATAGTTTTAAATTTATTCGTGATTTTAAATTCGGCTTCCTGATAGATATTCTTCGAAGAAAAATTTTTGATAAAATGAAACTGTTTGAACTGATGTATTCCCGTCGCAGCTAACAAAAATCCCTCTCTTTCATCCATATTTTGACATCCCAAAAGATGAAATAGTTTGAGCACTCAAAACCCATATCATAAGCCTCCTTTTTGTTTTATTCAATACCACTTGAACTATTTAAAGCATATAACTCCTTGTCAAGCATTTTGTACTATTCTATCGGTAGAATTTGTCTGTTTATAAAACCATTTTTCCATAGCACGAATTTAAACTTTGATTAACACGAAATTAGCTTCCGATATTTTCATTGAATCCCTTCTAGCGTCAGTTAAACGTGTTTTCCGATCCCTGCGTGGTATATCTCCATAGTTTCCTCAATACGTCGTCAGACGCCCACACACTCAGGATGTTAGGAAATCAGAGAATGAGAAAACGCTTGAATTTGAGGGGAATGTGACGCAAAATGAGGATTGCTTTACCGAAAAAGGGCTCCATCATAACAAATACGTACATTTACGCCGGGAAAGGAAACCCCACGCGAACACGATAGTAAGATTTGGACCCTCATCAACGAAAGGGAACAAAATACTCGACAGAACCTAAAATATAAACTTCAAGTTTATTTAAAGAGGTTGCTGGTTAACGTCTGTTTATTCATTTCATAAGCGCGAGACAAAATTCTAACAACAGAGGCTAGTTTAATATCACTGCTGGAAAGCGTCTTCACGCAGGCAAGGTTGTTGTGATGAATTCGAACTGAATACGTAAATTACACTTATTATATTGCGCAAATGGCTTTCCAAGCGTAATTTTTCGTTCTTTTTCTAAGCTTGAAAACACCTACCTGGAAAGTCACACTGCACTATGATGGGAGCGGTGATTTTGGGAATTAACTTATCGACAATGAGGCATCATTTTTTTCTTTCTCCAGAACGAGGTATACATTATGACTACACGAAACTTGCTTTTTGGCAACCTTGCCGAAAAAATATGTAATGGATTCCAAATATCAAAAGTCATCATCAATATTATTTTTATTCTGTTAGGCGGACGTGTTGAACTGAATTTCTCTTGGAGTCACCAGAAATATATTAAAAGCATTCATTTGAAAATACATGATTTCCGAGACGGAATGTCTCATGAGGGGCCTTGCTCCACTCTAAATCACACGCCAAGTAAAACAAACGCGAAAATATAGAGTTATTTTTCCATCAAGATCTGTCACTAGGTAGTTCATGGTTATCCCACTTTCATCCTAGCTGCCTGCAATCAAATATTGAAAAATGATACAAAAATTTAAAAAAAGTTAGTGCTCTCTGTACCCTGACCATGACATTGTTTCAGCAGTCTTGATCATAAAAAAAGGTCCAGCATGCACACTTTAGAGATGACATGAAGTGGAAAAAGAGAACATTACTAGTTATTGAATATAAAACATTGCGCACAGTTCTTGAAGCTTGGAATGCAAAACGTTCTGCACACAACCTAAAACCTTCTGTGCCTCACCTGAAACGTCCTTTATGTTATTTTTGAAATTCTCTTAGATTTTATAGGAGAACTTAAGAGAAAAAGACAGTGTCTAGGGGTTTTGTAAAGGTCAAGATCGTTCTTTGAAATTTATGCGCGTTTGTGTGCCAATAATTGAAATGTCTCATACACTCCCTCACACAAATAAAAAAAAACTGGCACATGATATCACTCAGAATAAGGGAAGTTTTTGAAAAAAATGCACTTTTATCCCTCAGAGAATTACCCTTGAAAAGCATAATTTTTAACCATTCAAGTAAAATGTTGAAGGAACGTCTCATTGAACGTTAAAGAATTTGGAGTAGACCCAAAAGAGGGCTGTAGTTTATGACAGTGTTTTACGAGGTCATAACCAGAGCAGAAGTCTTCACCAGAGTGATCCAACTTTTGCTCAGTTTATCAAATTCAAGACTACCCTCATTCAGACACATCCCAACTTTGGAACAGAATGCTCAAATTCACCAAGATTAAGATCTTACACTAAGTATCCTGAATGTGATTTTTTTTCTCGCAACTCGTGATAAACAATCTCACTCTAGGGAACCACTTACCTGTACTTTTGCCAGTTTCACTTCATGGCCAATATCAATCGTTTGTTTGGTAGTAGCTTATCAGAATCTGCCGGGAAATCAAGGTTGCTAGGATCCAGAAGCTTACACAAATCCCTGGGACTGCTGGCTCCTTTAACTTGTTTTGGATCATACCAATACATTATGTAAAAATTACACATTTCATCGCTATGGGTTAATCTGGTAACAGAGATAGAGATTTGAATCTCTTAATTAGTCTGATGGCATAAATAACAACAAAGTGAAACGCTCCATACATATGTGTCAGAAACTCTCTTTGGTGGCCAATACACATTATCAATTCAGTTAATAAAAACCAAAATTATTTTGTAATACCCTACTGATGCAACACCACAGTTTCTTCAGAAATTTAATAATTCTCCTTTTATTCAGAGGAACACTACCGGTGGTCTGGTAAGATAATGGCTACATTGATATATAACAAGCATACCCTGAGTGTGTTACTCTGTTTCTCTGCATGGAATTGAAAGTGCAACGGGCAGCCTGTAAGTTAAGAGTATTTAATGCTTTAAACAAAGAGAAACAACAAATTTAGTCTAAGTTACAGTAGGCAAAAGCAAAAAATTCTTGGTTTGAAAGTGTGAAATGGGGGAGATGCATTGGAAAAAGGAAGAAATGAATAAAATTGAGAAGAAAATGAAAAACGAGAGTGTAAATATGCTTGCTGTGAAAGAACAGGGGAGATGACACTAAGGAGATTTGGAAAGCTAGTCAGTAAACATGAAAGTTGAGAAGGGTTATGCTGGTCAGGTGAGGAGGTGGAAAAAACAAGGCAGGAGACTGAAAACATTGGGAAGGGTGAGATTTTTTTATTGCAATAAAAAGACCACTGCTTACTATAGAGTCTCCACTTTTAATTTCCAATAGATTATCTACTGGGTAGAATGCCTGAAAAAACAAAACCATAAATGAGATTGCACTGAAATAAACCAATTTTTAATCCCTTAAATTCTGTGTTCTGTGTACAAGAATTTTAGAGGGGTCCCTTGATAGTGGATAAGCACTTACTCATCATGCAGTGACAGGTATCTTACAGATGATGGGTAATTTTAATAAACTTTGAATTTCCATTTTTACTTTATTGAGAAAAAGTTATCACATTGCTGACTCCAGCATTAGGTAAGATGCTTGTTACATGTGAACCTAAAATGAAAGGAATTCCAATAATTTAAAAATTTTTTTTCTATAACTTTCATCTATCTCCTTCTCTCCCCCATTGAGGGGGGGAAGAGAGAGGGGGAGGACTTCCAAATAACCTATTAGAGCTTATCTGTGACTCAGTAGCAAAGCATAATGGACCATGTGATCTGAAGGTGTGGAATTTGAATCAATTATATATGCAGAATTTGGATGACCTGTTTGTCCGACATAATTATAACTTTCTATAACATGAAGAAAGGGACAAAATGTTGCCCATTGTGTATAACACTGGCTGATTTTCAGTTTACAGAAAAAACATCCAATTCCCGATAAATCTGTCTTTTTTCTGGGTGACAGTGAGAGTTGTGTAGCTGCTGAAGCATATTTAACTTACCTGTGGTCGTTGTGGATCCATTTTTCCTATTTGAGTCCATTTCCCATCACGTATTCTGTAGCCAACCACTACCGTCCCTAGAGCAATTCCAGAATTGAACTCAACTGAGTGTGCAAACATGAGATCCAAACTTTATGCATTAAATCTTTTTAGACTTGAAAATTTGCTTTGAACCAATTGGTTTCCTTTTTATACAAACACAAGTTTAAAAATTAAGAGGTTACCACACCAGTAAGTGGATTTAGGACCAAATGCAAGTATAAATATTGTTAACTCTGAAAACCCAAGTTAAAAAACCGGACCAAACACAGAAAACATCACCAAAATATTTTTAGAGACCAGAAGAGTGATTGATGAGAAACGGAAATCTTTATCAGCCACAAATTACAATGATTGAAAAAATCCTTATGAAGGTCTCCATTTTTACGAATCTCCCTCAAGTGATTTTTGGAATGCTGAATTTGCCATGCAAACTTGTTCTATAAATTTTTCTCATTAATAATCAGTCATATGCCAATTCTTGATAAAAACATCTCTAGTAATTACTGCAACATATTTAAAAGTCATGCACCATTATTTTCAAAAAGACTTCATACCACAAAAGGTATATAGAAGAAGGAGTCTCTTATAAAGGAGTTCATTCTTTTTAACCCTCTGTTAGCACTATTAACCCTTCACACACTAATTTATCAGTATTCTCTGTACCATTCTTTATACATTTCCCAAGGTGCTGACAACAATCACTTCTTAACAACCAAAAGCTTTGGTGGTTGGTGATCACTTCCTTGATTCTCATGACCTTACTGTGTGATTCGGGGTGATATTGTCAAGAGAACTGAGATGCTAGTCTTACTTAAGGGTCATAGAGAAACAAATAAAAAACCCTAACCTAAGATGAAAAAATGACTGAAAACTGATTACAGTCTAAATGTGATCAGTTCAGTGGAACTCACCAATGCCATGAGTGTGGACTCTAAATTTAAAAGGATGTAAGACTGGTCCGTCATTGTATTGACACCCAATGTCAAAATGCCAAGCTGGATAAAGAAGAAACACAGTATAAAGTTATAAGACAGTTAGGGGCCAGAGTGACATCAATGATTTTATTTTACCTTCCTTCTTTGGTGGAATGTCTCCAAATGGTTGTAGGACAAATATGGCAGCCAGTTGACTTGGTCTTTGAAGGGAAAATGAGAAATAGAAATGTTAAAACTGAAACATTGGGAACAGTAGTGTAACAAATCATTCTACTCCCTCATTCATTTTCAACAAATGAGGGTTTAAATTTTACTTGATTATTAATATTCAGATCCTGCAGGAAGAGAATTAACTTAAAAACTAGAAACAGAATAAGAGCCAAGTTCTGACCCATGGCTTCAGAGATTAGGACTCCAGAGGTTAGCTTTAGGCAGTAATCATTTCAAACAAGTACTGATAGTAATTGCAGCAGCTGACTACAACCTTTTTTTTTTTTAGGTAGAACAAGTGATCATCCTACACTTGATGCTTGCCTTGTAGTGCAGCCTTAGGCAGGACGTTGTGAATTAATTTCATAGGTTGGTAACTTTTTCCATTTATGATGCAGTAGTAGGGGAGAAGGTCACAAAAAGTGGCTAAAAATGAATTGAAGGGGAAGACAGGAAAATTGCTTGACGATCTGATGAATGGGGAAAGAAATAAGGACAAGGGGAGATGGAAGGGAGAAAGGATGGGAAGAAATGCAAGAAGGAAAGGACAGGGAGGAATTAAGAAAATTAAGCAACCTTTCTCCCTCATGTTTTTGTTTATTAATAAGTAGGTTTAATTGTCATTTAATTTTGTTATTGCTCAGATCAGAGTTGTTCAAAGCATGATACAGACCCATCAAACTCTTACATCATGATGGAAAGTGGTTTTGTGGTACACTGCTACTACCTTATTTGTACTAATCAGGTTTGAACAATGCTTAAATTGCTGCAGAACCTCGAGGAACTGCATTCATTTGCAACTACTGGTACCCACCGTACTGATGTCACATGCACGTCCACCCCAGAGTAATCTTTCAGAGTAGGATCAGCTGTGGAGAGATTGAACAATCTACATTGTGTGTCAGATAAGGAGTGATTTTTTAACCATGAGCTCCATCCAAGCCCACAATATTTATTAACAAGTAGCTATCTGCTTTCCCTTAAATGGCAAGTTTCTTAGCCATAAATTTGATATGAAAAGGTTCATGAAAACAATCCTATAATCTAGAATACAAGATGGGGAAGCAAAATTGTAAAGTGACATAATTGGAAGTTATACACCTAAAGAAAAAATTTAGAAACTGTCAAAACTTTTGTGTTAATTTGCCACTAGGAAGGACCTGGAAGGAACACCATTGACCAACCATGAAACTCACCTAAAAACCTGTCTGCACTTGCATAGTGAACTTCAAGTACAAGGTAACTGTTATCAGATTTGCCACCCACTTCAAAGGCAGTGTCTAGAAAATTAACAACAAATTCTCTAGCAGTGTTTGATGAAATTTAAAATGAAAAATAAGAAACTCTCTGACAACATTTAATTTTTGATTGCCACAACATTCTTTTGTCTCTGACAGCCCATCTAATGCAATATGTCAGATCAAAGATATGTAACATGCAATTATTGTTGTACAGGAAGTTGATACTGAAGTGCCAGGTTAAGAAAGGCCCCATGTGACAGAGTAAAATGGCATTAAGCATTCCTGATATTAAAAATGATGATAACAACAATAAAACGATTAATATGAAGGTGAATATTGGCATACTGTACCAGGTGGTAAGTCCAACTCTGGAGCATTTCTTCCCCAAGCATACAATATATTTGCATCAGAACCCTTGCAATAATTGGATCCCATTTCTCCACATACCCTGAAAAAAAGAAGATTAAATATTACTTACTTATTTCGTATACTTAATTAACATATACTAGTTGTGGTTAGTATATTTTTGTATTTGTCTCAGGACATTTACAGTGAACAAGAAGACATGAAGCCAAAAAATATTTTTACCTCCACTGGCACTTTGCACCAAACCATTTTAAGGCTAACCATGCATGATTAATTGAGTAATTAGATGAATTGAACATGCATTTTGATTGGTTCTATGTCACCATTAGCAACAATTTTCTTTTTATCATATAAAATAAATTGATTCTTTGCATGCTGCCGTAGGCCTGTAGAGTCTGTAATGGATCACTCTAGGTATCACTCTTGGCTGCACTTTGTGTGCCACCTTTTTGTTCTTACCACATTTTGACCTCATTTGTGATCTATTACTAAACAGATGCAAAGCAATGTTGAATATATTTGTTAATTTTATAATAATTATCTTCAATAAGATCAGTAGCTGCAATGGTAAAACCTTCTTACTCGTAACCAAGTTTTTCTTTGCTGTATAATTAAAAGCCACATGCAAAATACTTAAGTTACATTATAGGAGCATTATTGTCAGGATCCTTTCCTTTGATTAGGTGATGGACAAAACACTGACCCCTAATCCATGGACTATCCTGATTGGCTACACAAATGGACTACCTGAAAATGGAATAATCCTAAAAAGTCCTACCTTGAATGACTGACCCCCATTCCATGTACTATCTTGATGGGCTACCCAAATGGACAACCCCAAAATACATTAGACCTACAAAATCCTACTTTGAATCAGTTCTATTGCAAGCACTGCTATTTATAAACTTAAATTGCATGCTCCTTCTTTATTTTCTTCCGTTGATGCTATAAATTTCTCAAATACAACTGGATTTTGAGTTATGGGTCACATTTTGTCCATCACCCTTTTAATTAGCATACCAATATTCTCCATCACTTGCAAAAGCATGTTTTGCTGGCTCAGGGCATCCAAATACCATCAAATGGTGGGCTGTGTTCATGTTAACTAGAGGTTTGATTGCAACTGAAATGGATGACAAACATTGACACATTTGTGGTTGTTCACTATAGTGTAATGATGTGTAATTTTTGTTTGAATAATTATTAGTTCATTTTGATGTTAAGTCAAATATGTTTTTCTTTTGAAATTTAAGGGGACTACATGATCTACTGTGATATTGTAAAATATTGTATCTCTATGATAAATTTTTTTCTTTTCAGAAGATTTAAATTGAAGCTCTGTTAGCCATAATGTTATCCACTGTAAAATACCTACCAATATAGTCTTTCTTTTTATGCAGATCCACAGCAGTACAGAGGTATGTGTCTTCCTGCAATATGTGACATTTTGCTCAACATATTTTGACAGTTATGTATGATGCGCACACTGTGATTGACAAAGTTGAAACAATATTGAAAAGCTAGAACATGAAAAAAAAAAATATCCACCTGCAGCATGTTATTGATTTCTCTTTTAAAGTTGGTTGCTGATTTGTTGAGAGTAATATTCTTTGAAGAACATTTTGGTGAGTAACAAACCAGGTACCAATTTAGATGAGAGCAGGAAAAAAATGTATGCTAGTAGTTCTGAACATTTTTGGGGGGAAGGGGGATGGTGGTGGAAGTGATAGCAAAATAATGTGTATTCATTACAATCAGTATGCAAAAAGAATATCATTTTAGATAAACAAACATATTTAGCTAAGGCAGCTCTTAGGGGATCCATCAAAGCTTAGACGCAAGGAGTCTGTTTTTATTAGAAGAGCTCTCTCTCTCTTTCTCTCTCTCTCTAAGGGATGTGGAGGAAAAGAGCGCTTGAATGCTGTGACAAGATCGAGAGGGGGCTAAGAAAACAGTAAAATATGCGTGACAGACAGTTTCTCATCTGATGTCTCGTCCTATTCCCCTCTCGTCCAAACAACCCCTCCGATTCTGTGACCCGTATCTCGATAAAAAACGCAAAAGATACTATTGCTTTAAAATTCAACTTTCGTGGAAAGATTATTTAGAAACACCTAGATAACGTTGTCGATGAAATATAGGGATGTGTGTCAATCTTGTCAGCAAAAGAGTGATGATGTTTTCCAAGCATGTAATAAATGCAAACGCTTAATTGGGATGAAACTTCAGAAAAATTATATAACGACTATTGGCCCAATAATTTCTATCGTAACACCAAAACCATGAATAGAGAATACCCTCTTTACCTTCGTCGGGTGAACACCTGGCATTGCGAGCTTCACAATTTCTGATGAATCATCTCTGCTTTGCCACTTTTCAGGGCGAGATCTATGGAGCAGGATGTCGTTGAAATCCCTAAACTGTTCTTCATCGTCTTCATATGCAGTGCACATCGTTACGCACAAAATTGCCACCACGAAATTTGGGGAAAATGTTCTGCTCATGATAACGAACTCGTTGAGTTGAGTATCAAGAAATACTATAATTCGGCTGAATCACTGTAGGTAAAATTTACGGTAATACGAGCCGCGAAAACGATATAAGAAGTGACGCCTGGCCTTACGCTCGGCTTGAGGGACTGACGCAGCGGGTGCTTTTGTCATGCAAACAACATCGATTTAACGAACCTCTAAAAACGAAGTCCTCAGTTCAACCAACAATACTCGGTAAAATTTCCACACAGCCCCATACTATTGTAAAACAAATCTGTTTTCCCAATGGTAATGTATTGTTTTTATCGTTGTTTTCTCTGTCCAAGAACTGAATCGTAAGTACTAAAACAAGGAACGACCTTTGCCACTTTTCAGGGCGAGATCTATGGAGCAGGATGTCGTTGAAATCCCTAAACTGTCCTTCATCGTCTTCATATGCAATGCACATCGTTACGCACAAAATTGCCACCACGAAATTTGGGGAAAATGTTCTGCTCATGATAACGAACTCGTTGAGTTGAGTATCAAGAAATACTATAATTCGGCTGAATCACTGTAGGTAAAATTTACGGTAATACGAGCCGCGATTACCTGATACGCGTTACCTGCCTTTACAGACACCAAACAGACAACCGGCTGCGAGTCGTTCGCACGTCTGAGTGAAAATCTGTGACGTCATTTGTTCGCAGCGCTGAGGTTCGAAACAATTCCTGTGGCTATTATCTTTCTAACTCGAGTACTTTGTTTACTGAAAATACTGTGAATATGGATTTGTCGTCATCTCCAGCTAGTGACAGCGAAAATTCTTGCAGATTTTTTAGCACTTCTGCTTTTGCGCACCATGCTTAACCGTTGGTGCGGTTCCCCTGTTAAAGCTATCGAGAAACAGAGAATCGGCAAACGTCAAGGTCCTTTATTTTGTCGGAAGTGATCCAAAGTGTGGGACTAAATTTTATGCCTGCTGTGCTTCCTGGTGACAAAAAAACAAGGAAAAACAATTCTTTCTCGTTAGTCGTTAGGTACTTTCTTTTAAAAAAAAAAAAGGTAAGACTAAGAACTGATTCAGTTCTCCTGTATGTGTTCTTGAGATTTTCGACTTGTTGCCCCCATGTATACTCCAGGGGACTCACAACAACAACTCAGTGGGGCGATACAATTTTATCACTTTCCGAATCATGTCTCTTGTCAAATCCCGTCGTAAAAACTGCTACTGCTAGGTCAACACAACTTGTATTAAAACATTCAAGTGATTTCAGCTTCTCGTAAGCCTCGTTTTCTTGATCTATCAACTTGTCGTCAGTGACCAGTTCATCATCAGAGTAATAGTTTGACAGATTGCCATCATCATCATCTTTAGCATCATCAGATGGACCAGGGACAGCTGCCTGTACTTCCTGTTGTGCTTCAACACGTACATGTGCATCATGATGTCCAGGAATTTCTGCAGGCCCATCATCTTCTTCCCCTCTCAACCTAGACCTATTGTCGCTGAAGTAGGGCATTCTCTTCTTCTGCAACCAAACTTCAAGTTTAAATTTCGTGCTTCCAACACAAAAAGAACTTGCACGATCATACCTTCTGCAGACAAAGCAAAACATTTTGTCCTCTTTGTTTACGACATGGTATTCAAGCCATGGGAAGCTTTCTTTCCACAATGGATTAAAAGTTCTCTTTCTCTGAGTGCTCTCATAAATCTAACTGCTTTCCTGTTTACTGGTACTTTCAGTTTCGGCCGTTTTCCCCTTTTTACATGGTGGCGCCTCGTAATTTGTCAAAAATCGCTCCATCTTTACAATTGCTTCAAGTGCTAGGCGATGTGCAAGGAACGTAACATTGGTAGGGAGAAGACTGGGGAAGACATTGACCATTAAGCGCAGAGTCTGGGATCTAGCGATGTTTGCGATCGACACGCAAGCCAAAAAAAGGTGCCAGAAAATGACAGGGTTATGCCTTCTTTATTGGTGTTATCATAAACTCAAGTAAACGAATTATGTATAATTTCTTTTAATTTTCTACTAACCAGCGGGCTATTAGACGTGGTTTTTTATTAGCCTGACCAAATTTTTACTAACCTCGGGCTACTGGGCTAGCAGAGATGTCGAACCCTGCAGTAATGGTTTTACTTTATTATGGTGGTTCATAATTAACAAACCACAACCGAACCTCTGTTAGAGGACACTTGCCCTCGTCCTGAGGGTGTCCCCCTGAATGGATGTTCCACTGTAGTTGGAACGTGATCCTTTATGTAGACGGGAGAGAATTATGTGTTGGAATAAAAATCTTCCTTCCTCGCTTTCTCCTTATTTACCCGTCACACCCCTCTCCCGGGCGGCCTGAGTAAACCCCTGGGGTTCTGTAGAAAACTGGGGACTACTCAGACGTAGGATCAAGAGGTATTCATGATTTAGCTTCTCTGGGCGCAATGAAAGGTTTAGGTGATGCCGTGGGATACCCGTCTTGGGTCTTGATTACCACTGATTCAATTTGTCCAATTCGGCACCAGCACACGATAGCGTAAAACGATTTTTTGACGAGGATAGAGCGTAAATGGGAAAGGCAAACCTTGGAAAAAGTCAGTGAAAATCGCATTTTTGGTGGGGGCGACAAGAAAAAATATACAGGGCCCGTGAAAAAAGGAAACTGTACGTGTAAGAAAGACATGCGTATCAAAAACAACCGAAGTGTTTCTGTTCGCCTCCTTTTTCACTCGTCTCAACCGGACCGAAAGTCTGCAATACATGTAGGCTTGCAGCCGAATGCAATATGAAGAATTTCTCTTTTATTCTACAGCTAACAAGTGCGTTTATTTCTCAACAAATAGCTAACCTTTTCAAGCATTCAACTTGAGTGCTCTTCACTACCGTTTTGTAGTTATAATTTATGTCGAAAAATGACATGAGGATGTACAGCTGTAGTGCGGAGGTTTCAATAACTATTTCACTAGGCGGTTTCCGATCCTGTAATTGGCGGCTATGGCCGGAAAAAAGGGCCAAAAGGTGAAACTCAAACACGAGAGCCTGCTTGCAGCTAAACAGACGATAAGATAAAGAAAGTAGACAGCTAGTCATTAGTTCTAAACAAGGACCGCTATAACTCACCACAGTCTTCAATCACGATCTTTTTGCTTGTTTTACCACTTTTTGATCCAGTTGCTTCTACTTTTCTGACAACATCCATTCCATCAATAACATGACCGAACACAACATGTTTTCCATCTAACCAATCAGTTTTCTCAGTGGTGATGAAAAATTGGGAGCCATTGGTATTGGTGCCAGAATTAGCCATTGATAGAACACCAGCACCAGTATGCTTCAGCACAAAGTTCTCGTCTGCAAATTTCTGACCATAAATTGACTTTCCTCCCGTACCGTCGTGCTTGGTGAAATCTCCCCCTTGCAACATAAACTGGGGGATTACTCGATGGAACGTGCTGCCTCGATATCCAAAGCCTTTTTCGTGGGTGCAGAGGGCACGAAAGTTTTCAACAGTCATAGGAACAACATCATGTCTTAGTTCTATAGTTATCCTTCCTGACTGGCGTCCCCCGATAGTTATATCCATGAATACTCGCGGATTTCCTTTCTTTAGTTTTGCATTTGCTTCTTCGGTAGATTCCTCAGTTTTATCCTCCGAATTTTTCATTTCGGCATCCTCTAAAGTCTGCCCTGCGTGTTTGCTTAACCAGTTATCTTCACTCCACACAGCACGACTGTAACCTTCCTTGATCTTCATTGGTTTGGCGATGTTCACACGAATTGTTCGCCCAAAGAGTTCGGATTCGTTCATGTTGTCAATAGCAGCCGCAGCGTCTTCTGCGAGCTCAAATTCCACAAATCCGAATCCTCGATGCTTCTGACTTGAGTAATCCATTGGTATTTGAACATCTGTAATGTCTCCGAAAGGAATAAAAGCGGCGTGAAGGACTTTCTCGTCAACTTCTTCTGCCAAACCACCAACGTAAACCATGCGCTTGTTAGCCATTTTGGATTTCCCGACACCCAAAGTGCAGCATGGGTGAATTCCAGTTTCCCTCGGTTCAGAAACTCAACAGGAAGCAAAGATGTCGGTAGTGAAGGAGATAGTTCTGTATTTTCAAAAAGATTTGTATTGCAAAATAACCGAGATTGCTCCTAAAAGGGGTAGTGCCAATGAATATCTTCAATGAGAATGAAGAAAGTTTCGGTGGCTGAGGAAAACAATGGAAAAGCTCAAGGAAAAGAGGGAAGCAAGCTTAACAGGTGAGAATTTCTACGTTAGATTACGGGATTGTTAGCGATTCTTCTGCTTGTTGTAACGCGAACGAAGCACAGTTTTATAACAACAGAAATCTGTCTTCGACATCGTTAAATCCTACCAAAGTCTTTCCAGTTACTTTTAGCTCCCAAAAATTAGCAGTTTGGGGGCAAAAATCATTTCGAGAACAAGCGCGTTTTAGCCTTTCTTAAATCTGAACACGTACGAAAAGTATATTGAAATTAATCGACATTGCTCGCTCTTCTTGCGTGATCGCATAAACGATAGAGTAAGAATTTAAATAAGTAGTTGCGAGTTACTACATTTCTTCCTAGGGTAAACGTTTTCTACTTATTTCCAGCATTTTCATCATGCAGAGTCAAATGATGAAAGAACTTGGGTGAAAGTTGAAAGTGATACTTTTGAACGTATAATTTTACCAATTTGTACCTTGCCATATCAAACGACTCGCTGAGCTGTTTGATGTTGTGTTTAATGGAAATTAAATTCAGTTTTGAATATAGAATATCGATGGAACATTGTGGTATTTCTCTACATATTCGTGTACCTGAATAGTTTACGTTGGATTAAAAAGAACTTGGCTAAGCGTAACAAAGTTAATAATATGCACATGCAGAAACATACAATAAATGGAAAAATTCTACCCAACAAGGTAAATTTAACTTTTTGCAGTTATGACAGGCCTAAATCACGTCTTGGATTTTAAACTTTTTCCTAAACAAAAATTAAAAATAAAAAAAGCCAATTTAGGTTTCTGATTGTGCTTCCCATTATGTACAGGGAATTCATTTATTGTTTTTTACAAGTGTAAATCAAACTGATGATAATCAAAAAGTGATTGATTATGGCACAGCAGTAACAATAGCAATGATCAGATTGTTTATTCAATTTTCTTAGACTTGCAAATTAAATTTTAGAGTTAATGGATATGAAAAAAATTGTGCCTCAACACATCAGTGACTCATTTCTTTGTAGGTCCTCTATGCAACTTGCAAATAGAGTGGATATTCAGCTGAGGTCTGCAGTGGAATGGCAAGATCTTTTTCATCCAGATGCTGTTGTATTGCGACAGAGGTACAGTAGTTACCTATTTTCATTTTTTCTTTATAGAAAATTAGACATTTTTAACCATTTAACTCCTAGGAGTGACCAAGATATACCATACAATATCAAGTAGACATTTAATGAGAATATATAAAAATATCAATTACAGGATAACCATTTGATCCAACACTAAGTTCTCAGAATGAGAATTGCAAGCAATCTGTGGCTGATAGTAGGGAGAACTACTGATGAGATCTTGGGAATGAAAGAGTTAATAACTGATAAAGATATGGTGTTGAGTATCAATCATATTTTATCAAGAAGGGAAATCATTACAATGTCATGTTTCCTTGCATCATCTTCAGATAGTAGGTTATTAGTGGTTTTATGTCATTTTTAGCTTTCCTCTTAATCATCTGTTGAGAAAATTTTCCTCTTCACTGTTAAGATTTTAAAAATACCCTCTAATCACCTTTGAATGGTTTCCAGGCTTAGAGCCCAGTGCGAAAGCCTTATTCTTCATCATTCCAAGGAGTATGGCCGTAGGGCTGAAGAACGACTATGGAGAAAGGTCTTCTACGATGTCATCCAGAAGCTCAGGAACCATAGAAAGGTAATGAAAAAAATAAACCTCATGTAAAGAATAAACTACAGGGTTGTCAATTAGGTAATTTTTGCTATCCTTGTTAATTAAATCACATACTCTCTAACTCAAGATCTGTTTTAGCTGGCCCCCATTTTGTTGTAGTCAAGTGATTATAAGGGAATTAGGTTCAGCATAATATTCATTTCTCAATACATTTGTCTGTTCTACATTTACCTTCATGTATAATAGTATATTGGAATTATGAAGAGAATTGACAAGCTTAGAGGAGTAACACCACCTATGCTATTTTAAGGGTTAATTATTGTGTTGTGTTAGATCCAAGAGGGTGATACCCTTCCTCTAGATGGAGTTCTCCGCACCCATCTGTCCTCTGCAGCTGGATATTATTACCACCTGTTGACTCATCTTCAGCGGCGATATCACCTTGCTGCTGATGGTATATTGTCTTGGGGTTTGCCATCCAGGCACCAAGGTGAGAACTTGCTTTCTTTTATTTACATCAACTTTCAATAACATGGATTTATTATTTAGTAATTCCTTGCTTTGTTTAAAGTTAATGCAATTATTTGGGAATCTGTAAATTACCCTGTGTTTCTTTAATATTGAGGACTGTGTCTAGTAGGCTTAGGAGATTGAAGATGATTGCATCATTTGACTACAATGACTAGATGCTTCTGCCTTATGCCAGATGCTTTTGCCTTATGTTTTCTGAAAAATAATCCTTTTTTTTTTTTTAACCACAGAGCAGAATTCTCCTGTAGAATTTCAATGACCTCAGCTATTTTTTCTTCATACAAAAAAAAAAGTATCCTGTTACTTTATCCCTTTACACCCTAACATCTGGTATTATATTCTCTTTTCTGTTCTCTTTATATTTCCTATGGGACTAACAAGAAGAATTTGTTTCACAATCAGAAGTTTCTTAAATTGGTGATCATTTCCTTTATTCTCATGACCTTTACATTTGATTTGAGGATGATGCTGTAAAGAGAAATCAGAAGCCAATCACTCTAAGGAGTTGAAGGGTTATATCATTCCTTTACCACTACATTACTCGATAAAAATCCTTTGTTTTATGGTCAACCCCTTTAACAAGGAAACTCCCTTGTGTTAGTAATATTAAACAAGGTCCTTTTTTTTTCAAAGCTGAAAATCAGGATGAAGAGGTCCAATCCTGGGCAGTAAAAGCCTGTCAACGCTGTCTCATATTCCTTGGAGATATTGGTAAGAATTCTTTTTAAGCAGAGCCCCAGGTTTAATTTTTCAGGAAGTCGCTTTTGGTAACCTACAATGATACTTTAAAATGGTCTCTATCATTAAAAATTTGGTTGCCAAATTTCTGCTCTAGATTTATCCCCCCAGCCCTCCCCAGTTTTTTCTGCTAATAAAAAAAAACTGATGTTGATGGTAGGACATTTCATGTTCAACTACATGCATTAGGTAGTGAACTAAAAGATGCTGTTGCAACACTTTCATTTGCCAAATTGGTATGTTTACCCTCTTGCCAATGAAAAGACTGTTATGATGGTTAAGAAAGAGAGAATGAAGAAATTCTGATGACTGGATGAGAAAAAATTTTCTATGAAGTCAGTTAGACCAAGTAACAAATCATGTTTAGTACAGTTTCAGTGTACTGCTCAGCTGAGAAATATCTCTCATTTGAAGTGAGTTGAAATATTGGTTTTAAAACCTTCAATATGGTATTAAACATCTTGAAACATTTGATATTTAGTCATTATACTTCTTACAGCAAAGTTAGGGCTAGAGTTAAAAAAGACTTGACTGACTGAAAGAGACTTGATCACTACTCATTTTAGGTTTATGCGTATTTGGGAGTTATAAAATGGTTGGTTGGCATTTTTTCATTTGATATTGGACCAAGGTCAATTTTTTTCCCAATTGGGGACTTCAAAATTTTAGTTGCCAAATGTATTTCTCACTTACCACGGCAACCAAAATGGTTGCAATTTGGAGCTTTGTTAAGAAGGCAATTCTTTTAGCCCAGGTATAGTTGCTCAGATTTCTTAGTAAAGATATGATTTTCTTTCTACAGCACGGTATCAATCAGACATTGAAGGAGAAGATGCTATTAAACTTGCTGAGAGGTTCTACTCTGAAGCAGCTCTCATTAATGTTGACATAGGTGACAAAAATTAATTAATTACAATGATTTCCTTGTGTTTAAATGAGAACTGATAACTTTAATATCTCTCTATGCCTCTGGGCCCAGTTCAAAGCATAGGTAATGCCATCTAATGTATAAATCACTATCCAGCAGATACCCCTGGTACATGTAAGTTTTAACAAAATGTGCAGCATCATCCACTGGGTAGAGATTAATCCAATGGATGGTTATTATCCACCTTTCACACCAGATGTATGAATTATTTACCAAAATTTTTTTCCTTTTCTTAGGCATGCCTCAAAACCAACTTGGAACCCTTGCTGGCACGAAAGCTTATGGCTGTGAGGGAGCCTATTTTTACTTACGCTGGTGAGATTTCACTTAATTACCCTGTCCAGAGATATTGATGTATTGAGCAAGGGTAATCTTGCTCAGTTACAAAGGAATAAAATGCAAAGTTCCCAGTGTTGTTTTTATGACAAGAAAATAGGATTCATATTCCTTAGCTTGCCAAACTTTTTGCTATCATTGTTCTACATTTACAATATATGATTATGTTACTCCCTTTTTCAAAACATGAGTACAAAGATGCATAGATGAGAATAATTTCTATGTACTACATTTCAAGTCTACACAGCAAACTTATGTTGGGATGCATGGAATCTGTTGTTTTGCAGTTTGTTGTCCAAGGAGGTGTTTGATGGTGCTGAAGGAAACTTGCTGAGAATTTTTGAAAAGAACCGTTCCATCCTGCATAGGATTAAAGAGTTGCCTTTGGATGAGCCCAGACCCAAAGAAAGGTGAGTCGATATGCTAGCTGGATTTCAACTTGTCGCACTATTTGCGCTGGCAATCAGCTGGTGTTCAGTTTAGCACCCCCTCCCATACCTCATACCTCCTTCCCCTGATCGAAAGCTTTTAGATTTTAGTTTTATAATAATTATTTTCAGTACGGTATTGTCACATCATAAAATATACTTGTATTTGAAGGCTTGTATCAGTGTCCCTTTCAAGCTTGTAGATTTTCATGCCAAGAAAAGCATACTATTTACAATATCTATGAAATCTGGGCAATGACAAAGGAGAACTTTAAGTTTGTACAAAGCCTACCCAGGGCTTATACAAGTGTTTTTGTGCTGTATAACCGTGCATGTTTTTATGGATAAATTTTTTTTCCTTTCAAACCAGATTAAAGAGGTTTCTAGTCTACTTCTTGTACCTCCAAGATGTGTTGTACCAGCATGAGAAGTGAGTACATGCATCAAAGCAGTAGTCGTAAGAATATTGTACACAATTTACGTACTGAACTTTTAAAATTATGTTTCAAATCAAGTTCCTGAGTTCACAATTAATTTAGCATGAGTCAGTTTAGAATGGTGTAACAGGGACTTCTGATCTTGGAATGGGTTTTTTATGGTAGTTGCCATGTGTTTGTTAGTTTAAGTTGCCATGTGCTTAATGAAGCTGATGCAAAAATTTTTTTTGCAGTGAGGGGAAAATTGGTTTTTAGTTTATTTATTGTGAAAATGAACAGTAGCATGCTTGTTGAAGAGTTTCCAAGAGTTAATTTTCATTTATTGTGGTAAGGTTTAGCCAAGAAGGGTATTGAGGAGGACTGTTGTGGGTTGGAATAAGTCTAAGAGTATTTGACCTTGGAATAACTTTTTGGACTGTGACTATGACCACTTGGGTTATCCTTTGAATTGTCACTCACTGTAGAAAATAACAGACCTTTCTATGACCACCTTGGCTGTGACAACCAGCTGACACTACCTCTTTTAAGCCATTTGCCCCAAATGACATATCTGTGATTTCTTTATTTAGTTCACCCGAGATAAGCAGTGAAGACATAGGTCATCTTTGCCAGTCAGTATTACAGGACTTCAGTAGTGTCCTATCTGTAGATCCAGCCTCCTCCACTCCAAGCCACAACTCATCACTAGAAAATGGTCTGATTGCTGCTCAGGAAAATGGCGGTCTGGAGCATGACGTCACTGAAGACATCGATGACGTCATAAGCAGCTCGCTTATGGTGAAGCTGGTTGTCATGGCGATTGCAGCTGTGACCAGACTGCAGTCAAAGGGTGAGTGTCGACTGTTCTCTTACTGATGATGTGGTGTGTGACCTGTGGGTTGCATAAATGATTTGTTGTAGACAAAGTGTTAACGTAGGTAGCCATAAGGCAAAGTAAAGGAGATTGAATGAAGCTAGTCTGCGAGCAGGTCCTCATTAGTAGGGCTTGGACACTAATCGTAAGGGAAAGTATGAGGCTTTGAGCAACGTGAGCCGGCGAGATATCTGCAAGGTGGACTCGCACTGAAAATGGGTGCCAGACACCTGGCAAATTTCTCTAACTCCCCGGCCGGTTTCAAATCCTCCCCAAGTCTTTCCGCGGACGGAGAAACGCTTGTCGCGCAGCTGAAATAAAGCCTTCACGAGCTGTTGAGTGACTTAGCTTGAACCTCTCCTGATCTGAAAAAGTATCGCCTTCAGAATTCATAATGGAAAATTTGAAAAAAAAAATCTTGTTTTTTGTATTCCGAGTTCATGATGTGGTTGTGATATAAGGTGTTCTTTAATTTGGCAGGTTCTCAAGAGTCGTCGGTAGCAATAGCTTTCACTTTAGCGTTCTTGTCTCTTCTTCTTCAACACTGTATTTCGTCGTTAGAGATTTACTTAGCTAAAGAACACTCCAACGCAGAACACCAAGTGATGAACGGACCAGCAAATACTGTGCTCTCACACAACGGGCTGAATTCGGAAAAGTTGTCGAAACACGATAATTCCGTGACAGGAATTACAGCGCAAAGTAATTTAAACCGAAACAAAGCAATCAAGAACGTCTTGAAACATCGGCGACGAAGAAGGAGGCGAAGAAATATCGATTACAGCTTTGACAGCTACAGTGGCAGCGGAAGTGATTTGGAGGAGTCGGAAGACAATGAAGAAGACGAAGACAGCGACTTGAGTGAAGGCGGAGAAATGGACGGGGAGTTGGAGGATTTGGTCAGCGATGAAGATGACAGTGAAGATGTTTATGTAGAAAGTGAATCGGACGAAGAGGGTAGTAACACTGGATCCCTGCCAAAGGCGATGTCCACCGCTGCAAATGTACGACATCTGATGAAGGAAACACAGCATAAACCCGCAGACAAGTCGCTTTGTCATCAAACTGCTTCAGAGAAGCTGGGGTTTAGAGCGAGTCTATTGGGACAGAATGGGATTTCAGTGGGGAAAGTTTTCAGGCCTGATCTGTTCAGTGATGTGAGCGACGCAGAAACAGGTAACAGAACAAATTTCCATTAATGGACTTGAATCCTTATCGTTCTGTATACATAGATTAAGTTCCAAAAGATTCATTTATGAAAGTTTTCTGCGTGCTTTACGTTTAAAATCAAAATTACAATTTTATTTTTTGCCCAAAATTCTCTCAGGCGTTTAGTTCGTCCGAGCAGTTCATATCTTGGTTAGCTCGCTAGTACTTTGTTTGGTTGACTGGATAGCGCTGTTTTGTTTTTCTTTTCGCCCTGTGGTTTCGATGGTTTGTTTGTTTGTCTGTTTTTATAGCATCCGGGGTGCCACAAGCGACGTATTTTGTCTTTGGGTGACTTGTCTAACTTCATAATTTGGTATTTTTAACTGAATTTATGACGTAAAATTGGCCACCGTTAAGAGTTTCTTTGTTAGCTGTGAAACTCTTAGCGGTGGGCAATTTACGTGATGAACTCAGTTGATAATACCAAATTACCGTGTTATACTCTCCCACAGACGCAGCACCACAGTTTCTTTAGAAACGCACCCCTTTTATTCATTTTCCTAACGTCAGTTTGCTTTTGTAAAAGCTTTTAAGTGCTTGGCAACCCAGATTTCCTAAACAGAGCCCCCTGCTGTAAGTCGGTAGATCTTTTGCTCTACATGGTGAGATCAGTCATCCGAGGTTGAAGTACTACTCTGTAAAAGAGCAACGGAGAACCATTTAGTCAGCTTAATGAATGTTGTAAATTACACTGGTTTTCTTTATTATTATAATTATTATTATTATTTATTATCTCTGAAGAGTCTTCAGTGGCCTCAAGAGCTGAAATACTTCGAGATTGTGTAGAATCCAACTTGCTGAAGGCCATAGCCAATCAGAAGCTCTTACCTGCCATCAAGGTGATGACTGACTGGCTGCGACTCAACGGAGAACTGGTGATGACTTGTGTTGAGGTAGAACACTTCATGCAAATAATTTTGTTGAAGTTCGAAAATGATCGCCATGATGTAGTGAAGGGGGGGTTGGGGAGAAAAGCGTTCGCCTGTCATTGCGGTAGCCTGTGTTCTATTGCCGAAGTAGATGTTTCTTGTGGTTTGAATTTGTTTTCCTTGCTTGTAAGAATTTCCTCCAGTTTTCCTCTCTTTACGGGAAAAAAAACCTTTCAAATGGTGACTCGACCTAACATCAGATAATAAGGCTTGAAGAGCTACCCCTCACAAGCTTACAAACCTCTGGCTTCGTACGACAGAAATTTCAAAATACCTTCTGCAAACGGCTGGCTTTGAACGACAAAAATTTCAACCGTAGAAGTTTGCCTTTGCCTTTGAATTCATGGTTGAGCTCTTCTTCGTTGTTGTCTTAGAGCCTCAGCTCCCTGTGGTCAAGACTGGCTGTTCTACTGAACAAGTTTCCATCGCCAGAGCAAATGATTGTTGCAGGTAGGCAATGCTGATGGCATTTAACTTACCAATCTGGATCAGTCGCCGTAAAATAACATTAGAAATTAAGTTAATTTTAGAGGTTATTTCATTCGTTTTTATTGTCCTATCTTTTCATATTTTTGTTTGGTAAGTTCCATTAACAAGACTGCAAACATGGCAAAGTGTTCTTGACGAGCCGCTCGATAAGGACTGGGTCCAAACACGTGGTCTACCAGAAGACATGTCTCTGTTAGGATTTACTCCACTGACCGCTGTACACAATAGGCTCGACAGGAAGTGGAGCAGGCTTACGAGGGACTGCTACTATCTTGAGGTAGTATCATTAACACTGCTACATAAAAGTTGATATTTCTGTATAAATCTCATTCCTATTTTATTGTTAACTGTCACTTGTTGCACGAACGATTATGAAAGATGAATTTCTATCTTTCTTTTTGAGGAGCGGTTTAACGCTGATTTCATTCGTTTTGGTTTGTTCAAAGGTTTCTTATTTTAGTAATTATTTTAATTCCTTTTTTTCGCTGTTTCAGGCTGCAGTTCGAGTTCAGTGTTTGAGAAGCTTTGGAATGAAGGTGGCTTCTACTCAGGTACCTTCCATTTGGTTTGTAATTATATTGGAGTTTCTTTCGAGAGAGCTCAGTAATTTTAAGTGTTCAAATACTTTTTGGTAACAACGTACTCTTTGGAGCGCTTTTCGATTGATTTTTGCCAAAAACAAAGCCAATTAGGGTCAGTGGCGAATCAGAACAAAGGGGAAAATCGCGAAGGGTCATTGACTTCTCAAAAGAAAAACAACCAAACTGTCAGAGGCATAGGAAAACGTGAGAGAGAAAGTTTTACATCTGATTGCTTGGGAGAGTGGCACGAATTTTCTCAACCAATCACAGAGTGAAGGGAAGCAAGACCAATGAAATTCCGGATTACTGACAAGGCTCAGTGAGAAATTGCTCTATTATCTTTACTTTCGACAGGAGCTTAGTTCGTTCGATTGGGACCCGAACACACATCAGTTTGTTGGACCTCAGCAGATGGCGGAACGAGAACAAATGATGGCTGTTGATAAACGACCCGCAGCACCGCCTGTGGTGAGACAGGAATTATTTGGTTGAATTATTCACTTACATTTTGTTGTCAAAAGGGAGAAGAAAAAGTGTTGAACACTGCCTTTCAGTTTCCTTTTCCTTTAAAGGTCGGGAAGGGGTGAGCGACTTAGATCAGCAAAGACACAGCATGACCGTTTTGTTTCTCTGTCTCTCATTATTAGGGAGATCATGATAGACGAGCTAGAGTGATGAAAGTGATGGCGCAACAGTTATTACAGGTAATTTAATCATTTGATGATATACAATCAGTGACACCTGAAAGAGTCCAATTTTTTGCGTTTAATTTATCCATTTATCACATTGGAGCGCTTGATCCGTTGCTCATATTTTTAAGGGAAAAATATGAGGAAAAGAGATAACCCTAAATACTGAGGACAGGGACGGAGTGTTTAAAAATACAAGCCCACCATTCCCCCATTTCTCCCCCCCCCTTAATACCGGTAGGACTGAGACTTGCCTCATTTCAAGCCAAATAATTAGTGTGGTGGCATGATGATCGGACCTGACGACGCAGTGATTGAAGCACAAAAACTTCTTTACGATTATCTGATAATTTTCACTTTTATCTAAAAACTTGTGGACTTGTGGAGTTCGGGGATTAACCTCTCAATCTAATTGTAGTCGGAAGTGGCTGAACTAGAGAGCACCCTTAACGCAGCTCCTCATGATGGACCAGTTTATGTTGTTCCTGATGCTATGGCACTTTGTACTCAGTTACATCTGGTGCGAAGACTGATCGCCTCGGAGAAACTTGTGGTCATCATTCCTATCCAAGGTACAACCGCTTTTACTAGCTTGTAGGCATCTTTCTTAGCGTTCTTTTATTCGGTATCATTCCACTGTAGAACTATTTACTTTGGATTTTTTAATTGCAGATGTAAGTTGAAAGTCTTGAACGACCAAGAGTGTCGTTTTCGTGCTTTCCATTTGTTAGCCAATGATGCACATTTTCCCTTAAAAACTGGTTTCATGGCGCCAGTGGTCTCATTTTCCCGCACTTGACACTGGTTACACAATTTCCCGCGCTTAAAATCAGTTGGATGGCGCCAGGTTCCTTATTTTCCCGCACTCAACACTGGTTGCTTTCTTTTCCCTCGATTTTCAATGGTAACAAGTCAACCCATTCTTGGCCTCGCTTATCGATTGGGGCACAGGAAGAATTTCTTCTAAATTTAGTGCAAACTCCGTTTTTAGAAAAGCTATTTTTTTCACTTTTGGTTCGGGTTCTACATTCTTTTGGTGTATGATTTTCTTGTAGTAATTTCTGCGCTTGACGATCTGAAAAAGTATGACAGTGGTGCGAGAGAGGCTACTAAGTTTTTAGAGCAGGAGTTTAAAAAAGGCAACAGGTACTGAAAACGACTGATTTCTTGTGTCACATCATTTTGTTTAAACTCTTCGTTTCTATTTTGTGGTTGAACGCCTGCAATGCTCGTATCCTTTGCACTTGTTCCTTAGATGGATTAGAGCTCAAAAAGAGAATGAAACCTTAGACGGACAACGGAGGCGCGGACGTTATGAGGACGTGGCAGTGTGGTAAGAATATCATTTCCTGGCTGCAGGCTGTTTATTTCCTCGTTCGCTAAGTCTCATCGGTGTTTTTATGGGACAGCCATCCCTTGCGAGAGAGAATCGAAAAAAAGTCTCACATTGGAAATTGCTCTTCCATTAGAGTGGCTTCATTGTCATATGACTGAGGGTTTTGAGAATATTTACAGTTCGCTTTGTGTCATTGCATAACTCCAATCTACGTCTCGGTTATTGGGTTGGTTTTTTGCTCCGTGCTTAATTACCGTTCACTTCAGGAAATTTTGGTGAGTATGGAAAGAATGAACACAATTGAAGAAAAATTGTAAGAATTTCAAGTAACAAACTTGAAAAGTTTCAGACGGGTCTCAGAAGATAGCAAGTTTCGAATGGAAAGTGAAGGTAGGAGAAAGGAACTTCTTATTCTATTAATCAATCACGCGATCTGTATGGAACAGTACCCACCCTTGGATCCCGAGGCTGTCCGTGACTAAACAGCAATTTTGTATTTTGCAGGCGTTTCAATCAAATCGTCAGCTGTTGTCGCTACTTCCTGCGTCAAACTGGTAAGGGCCTCGTGACTTTACTAACCGGAAGTACCTCGTATGAGGCTCCAAAGCGAGGCCAAAGAAAGGGTGTGACCTCTAGTGGTACCCAGGCTACCCCAGAAGCAGTGGAATTTGCGCGAAGCTACGGAGTCAACGTGGAATCACTTCGCGCGTTCTGTGCCCGGTTCTCCAAGCAGTATAAGGCAGTTACGTGACGTTTCGTGGAAATCCAGATGTTCTGGAAGAGATAAAGATATGATGGGTTGTGCACCTAACCCTACCAACCTAAAATGTAGGGCTGAAAAACAACATGACCCAGCAATACCAACCTAGCCGGGTGCAGTCTATAGATAAAGCAAACCACCACAGGGTAACCAGCTTGTTCCCTATTGCTTAAGGAGATGTTTAAGTGTAACCTTTCAAGTATGGCACCCCTTTCCAAGATAACGTTCTAAAAATTGTAGACGAATTTCATTTCAGCCTTTATAAAGGTGTGTGCGGCTTTCATTAGCTGTTACAGCTCGCAATTTCTGTGTTTGAAGCAAAACGTTCGGTTGTCATTCGGCCATCAATGGCCATACCTATCATGTAAGACAAATCCTATCTTCCTGCCTTCTCGACTTAAATTTGTATTTGAAGTAACAACTGTGGGAGGGTGGGGTCGTGAGTGATTGGTAATGAACACTAAGTTGTTGCATCTCGATAGTAGTCGGTTTGACCTCCGCCGATTATCTCGGATTTTGTCTGAAAATGTCAGTAATCAAGGTAAAAGTTAAAATAGGTAGACCGTGATTTATTGTGTTGGCTCTCAGCAATCTTCATTATTAAGTGTTTTCCAAAATGTTTCACGTCATGACGGTAGATATGTTAAGCAAACACACTCGTTGCTGTCAAAATTACGCTTTGTTGCTAAATGTGCGTAGCTAAATGTGCGTAATAGTATGATAGGCGTGGGTAAAAGTACTTCCATTTATTTTCATGAATAACTTGGACCATTAGAGACGGTTTTTCCTTTTATTTAAAGGTGATGGCATACTGATCCATGTGAAATGTAGATTGTTAGCGTAATGGAACCCAGCATGATTAGTTTGCTTGGAAAGACACGGTTTGAAAACCTTCCTGTTTGAAAAGTTTTTCTTTTGCACACTATTTGATCATGGGGCATGATTCGACGTTGCTTGATTGATTCATTTCACGCGCTTTTAAAATAAACATCGAGCAGATGAGTAGTAAGGTGGCCGAATAAGAAAATGTTAGATCTTGAAAGGTGTCAGAAATCGACGTTGCATTGATGCATTGTAGAGACAATTAGTGAATCAATAAATGTGTTTTCTTGGACAATCACTCTTTTATCTCATGATTAAAACTGAGAAACAACGCAACATAAATTTACTTTATTTGCACAGAATGAGAGTAGGATTTCGATTGAAACACGGTGGTGGTAACGAATGTGTCTGTGGTTCTGCAATGTTGGGAAAAAATAAAATGAAACAATGAACGCACCCTACCCCTCTTCTTCTTACCGAAATGGACGATGAGGGCGCCAAGACTGACACCACCCATTTCGTCTTCATTGGGAAGAAAGGTTAGGCGCAATTTTCCTTTCATTTTGCCATTTATGACTACACGTTGCCCGGCTCCCAGAAGTCCACCTCCCAAATAGAGGCGAAAGAGCCTGAAAAGCATCATTCATCATTCTAACTTCATCGAAGTTTCTTCGAAGCCTCTTTTCCACGATTAAAAAAATGTATGTCCCATCACGGCGTTTATTTGAAGAAATCAAAATAAATTCAAGCTCAAGCGAAACTGGAGCCAATTTTAGGTAAAAATCTGCGTGACACAAATCGGTTTAACGTTAAAAGTGGCGCGGCGTAATCGTTTTAAGCCAATACCGACACGCACGCGACCCAACCAAATTTCGTCACTTTCTAAATCGCTTTATTAAAGTTGCGATGGCGGATTTTTGCAAAGCAACTGAAGCCAATCAATACTAATCACGCACTGGATAAGAAGTGTCTCTGATGATTAAGAGAAATGTTAGAAAAATGATGTAATGAATAACTCGATTGTCATCGATACAAATAGTCATTGCTATTTCCAGACCACGTGATATGAATCACACCATTTGTGCGCCACCCAAGGCTCAGAAATGCTTTGGACATGGATTAGCTGCTATATTTTATTACATCATTTCAGTACTTAGTGGACATTTTGTTCCCTTCAGTTCTACTTTAAACCAAGATCAAATATTGGCCTTTGTGTATGCTCTTTTTACAGGAGAGCTCCCTAACTTCAAGGATGAACTTCACTCACCTGAATGCGCGCCGCCTTTCAGAAGACTCTTATTCCCTATTTCCCCGCCCCCCTCCCCCGAGGGGTGCGGAGGGGTTTGAGCACTCACTCGAGCCACACGCCTTGGCACGAACGCGTCGGGGTTTACAAGCACGCACTCGAGCAACACGCCCACGCAAGAACGCATGATACTTACGTGCGGTTAATTGTCTTTCAATAGTTTAATTATTGTCCCTTTCTTTACCGACAATATTATATAATTAACGGCCTCGGAAACAAGGCTCTGTTCTGGAGTCTCGGGTCTTCCGAAAAAAAAATTGCCAGTCTATTTTTAAAATCGCGGCGAGATGCCAGAGTACAATATTAGCTCTCCTTAATCCTATTAACAACCACAATAAAGCACATAGCACCGTAAAGCCATGAACTGTTTACTTAAGAATTCTTTTCGTGCCCAGTCAGTTTAGTCTAAGCAGCTTTGTTGTATAAATCTAAGGTAGAGCGATCATTATCAATAGATTTTAGCTGGTTGAGGTGGCATTTAAGTGATTTAGACGCTATCTTATGGTTAGGTCGCGTTTCAGACAGAAGACAAATAGTTTTCTGAAACATACCACTTGCTAAATTCAAGCTGTGTCAACGTATTTGGTACCGGATGAAAAAGTAGTAAAAAAAAAACGTTTTTGTTTGTATTTCACGAGTGCACCACGCTTTTTCTCTAAGACCACTTGCCACCCGTCAAACTTTTCTCTTTCAAAAACAGAAGCAGCTGATAGCCGTGCAAGTGACTGGTAAGACCCTACTGCTTAAGTAGGTTACCATGAATTATCGTCGAGGCGTTTTGGAATTTTCCGTTACCTGACAGTTTAAAGAGTTTAAAAGGCGTCTTTGTTTAAACGATTGACCAAAGATATTCGCTGGGACTAATTAAAATCTTCAGCGATACAAAGGCCAATAAAGTGAGTTGTAAATCCCCAGATTTCAAATTCCTTGAAAAAGCTGATGACCTTTTTTTGCAACGATATGTTTCACCAAGTTGACTACAAAGTCCAGTCTACCCATCTTGCGGAAAAATCTCGTAGGGTAGGTTGAGATCATATTTCAAGAAAAATAGCCACTTTACGCCTAAGAAATGTTTCATTCCGTTAACGGAAGACTCAGGAAAGAATGTTATGAAGCCGGTAATAGGAATCTCTCAATTCACGAAAGGGCAAATACTCTCACGAAGCAACGTTTATTGGATGTAAACCCACTGTCTTGTAATCATATTTCAATTATACTAGCTTATACTTCCGTTTCAATATCGATTCACGCAGGAAAAATTGCCAGAAAATTATCATGGAAATTCCAACGAACCATTTAATGCACGTTTATAAAGTATCTAAGTCAACACCCATCCTGTGGCTAAAATGGTACGCGTTTCTTTTCAAGAACTCCTGATAACAGAAGATCTTACATGTCAACAGATGTTCAAATTTACTTACCGTCGTTTTCAAGACATTAGCCAAGCACTTAATTTTTTAACATCCACTTATGTCACTCTAACTCTATTAACACGCGGATAGCGGAAAAGGCTCTCTATTTCCTAATTAAATAATTAACGACAAAAAACACGCAAAGGAATTTACAAACCACGTGGGAAGAAGTGGCTTTCACCCGAGTGCTAAAATCAATGGACATGGGTGTAACTGCGGTATTTTAATCCCTATTTCAAACAGGATGCGGTCACACAGTTCCGCACCGAAAAATCCATATATCTCTCATAAGGAGCTGTGTCTTGTTTTCCATCTGGCTGTAAAACAAATAGGGCTCGTCCGTTTGTGTAGTTATTTAAGACCTTAAATATAGCCATCTCACGATGAAACAAAACCATTGTGTGCTTCCTGTGAGGGCGTTAGAGCAATGTACATCATCTGATGACGCAAGTAAATACGAGCCTTATTCCAGCCTAGTTTGTCATCATCATCTAATCACAACGCTGTAAGTTGCTTGCTTTTCTTCCACATTGAGATTTTATCTATCTGCACCCATTGTTTACAGCATTTCTTTTGGAGATTGCGATTCTTTGCATTCATAACCGAATTATTATCGTTCTCTACCCACTCGCAATAAGTATTTCCTTTTTAAAAAACCATCACGATTCTGTCAAGATTTTGTGGTAAATGCAATATAAAAACATCATAAAACTGTAAACAAATATGGAAATGACTCAACAAGGCTGCAGATCTTTAATTAACCCTCGCTGATAAAATATGGCCTCAAAATAAGTTTAACCTTTTGAAAATATCCTTGCACGCAATGTGCCGGATATCTCAAAAGCCTTCACATTCTGATTTCCTTTCCGCCAGTTAATGTCTTTCGATACCTGTAGATGTCTCAGTATTTTCCTCCTTTGCCTCGGTCTGGAGAAACTCAGTGTGGTACATTCATTAGAGGGGAATTTTAAGTGAAAATAATTTGTGGAGGGCCAGAGATACGGCATTGACAATTCAGGAATGTTTTTCGGTTATAGTTAACTGACTCTTCTAAGCTTTCATATGCTTGCCTAATCTCGATGTTTTCAAACGCGTAATATTTATTTTTGGCTGTTTTCCTTTATTCCAGTCTAGCTTCCAATCAACGGGGTGCGGTCTGAAGCAGCCGCATACGCTGAGGCTGGCATGTTTACCAAAATGACTGAGTCTGTTTTCTTTTAGAAAAACTGCACGTTAACTCCATGTTTTTTTTTCCGTCTCCTGGTTGCCGCTCGAGAACAAGATTTGGCTCATATTTTGAAGAGCACTTTCTGATTACGTACTTAATCACTCTGCTAACTTACCAACTGGCATGAAATCAATTTGTAAAAATAACTCACGCAATGTGCTAGAGACACTGTAGGCACTCAAATTTTAACACCTTTACCGCCAATTAGAAATGGCAAACCCGTCAGTAAGGCAGGTCATTCTGCAACCACCCGCCTTCCGCTTAAAAAAAAAGCCGACTCCGCTGCCCTGTGGCTTGTTGGAAGGTCAAGTATTTCCTACCATGAATGTGGCGAGACATTTATCTAGCGCACACAATTTAAGATGGCTCGCTGATATCCGTGCGGTTGCATGATAATGATGTCAAGCCGCTTGCTTCTTACAGCTAGTTCCCTGTACGATCACGCACGATCAGTTGCGGTGTTTCCATTTCCTCTAGCTGAATCATCTGTTCTATTTCGTTTTAAAATTCATTCCTGGGTTGCACAAGTCGTGTTTAACAAAGCATCTGAATCGAAGAGTTAAATCGTTCACCTTAAGCTGCCGTCCGTATGGTGGGAATTCCTTGGTTATGCATACCTGTTAACTCAACCAAAATCACATTCATTTGCCACTTTTCACAGAGATAATACGAGTCAAGAGGTTGCTTCTAATGTCATTTATAAGCAGCTGAATGCTTCATCATCTTGTAATTGATAAAGTGCATGAGTGGATTAACCAGGCTCCCCTCCCAAGAGCTTTCTCACTCGCTCTTGGAATTCAGACTTAAGTAATTATCAGTATGGTTCTTGGGCTTGCAAATTGACCTCTAGGCGCAGAGTGTTCAGAGGGGCTCATAATGGCATATCGCAGACATAGACTCCGGCCACCAACAACGAATTCCGTACGAGATGGGCTGAGCCCTTCAGCATCGTGATTCAGTTCTAGTGTCGTGTATAGTCCGTATAATCTACTTTCTGGTGGAAATAACCAACTGACAAACCGGCAAGAAATTGCGCTTCATAAAACCTAATTAATTTTCTTTGGTGAACTCAAGGGAAACTAGGAATTCCTTTCGTATGTTATGGCAAAAAAAAGGCAAATAAATTTGACACATCATATTAAAAAGAAAACCGTATAAGTGTATTGTTGTAATTTTGTTTTTCCTTAAGGTGTTTTGAGTCACGTGCTCGGATTGATATTCTTATTGAAAGTCGAAATAGAAATAACATCTCCAGAGCTGTGTTTCAACCCCATACAGCTTTTTTCATTTTTTTTTTTTTGTCTGCGTAGAAAACATCACTTTCTGTTCTAGAATTTGCATACAGAG